CGTCCCGTCCCCCCCCCCCCCCCCCCCCCCCCCTTTTCGACCACCCACCCAGACCAGACCCGACCCGACCACCACTCAACACGGGGTGCTTTTCGGACTGGACAGCGGGTGACACGGGTGGAGCCTGCAACTGTGAGTGCACACGCCGAACGGTTCCTTCCCTCCACTTCCAGGTTGGCTCCAGAAGACTCGCTTCCCCACAAAATAAGCGTGGCTGATGACTAAACTAGTGTAGCGTGTCTGGCCCCTGTCGGCATTGCTGTCATAGCGGCTCGGCTCCTACGGTATCGCCTTAACAATTTCCATAACAGGACAGGAACCGCAGTGTAAGCAAACAAGGCCTGTACTTGTACCCTACAATACCTCTACTTGTAGAGCCAGGTATCTACCGTAGCGTACAAAAGACAAAGTGGAATTTCATCATCCATTTCAAACTCCCGTCCTTTCAACCTTGTATTCTTTTTTTGCCACTGCATTGGCATTCTACATTCGTCCGCCTGCTAATCCATTCTTCTAGAACTGAACTGCTACAAATAGATAAAACAGAGCAGAGACAAGAAAGAAAGAAAGGAGATCACATTTTCGTCATACATATAATGCCGCCCAAGCGAAAAGCGGTCGGCCCCCCCCAGGCCGGCGTTGCCAAAGCTGGCCGCACTTCGGCCCTGTCCACTCCCGGCCCCGCGACTCCCCGCAGCCTCGAGAGCTCGTTCCAGTCGGACGGCGATGATGATTTGAACGACGACGACGTCGACGAGGTCATCAAGAGGAAAGAGGAGGTGATTGCCCGCGAGGCCGACGAGTTCGTCAATACATGGGCCGTCGATAGTAGCCGTTTCCAGAGCCGACAGGACGGTGGCGGCAGTCATCGTGACGGCGCCACCCAGTTCTTTGGCAGCGGGAAACGCGACTTTTCGTATCTGAACTTGAAACCCGACCACGACCAGAAGCCGCTGTGGATCGACCCCGAGAAGGGCACCATCATCCTCGAGAAGTTCAGCCCGGACGCCGACCGCGTCACCGACTTCCTCGTCACCATTGCCGAGCCCAAGTCACGGCCGCACTTCCTGCATGAGTATCAGTTGACAGCACACAGTCTCTACGCTGGTGTCTCCATTGGCCTGCAGTCAAAGGATATTATAGATACCCTGGATCGCTTCCTCAAGACCCCCCTTCCCGAGTCCATTCGCCTCTTCATTGAGTCGTGCACAAAGAGCTACGGCAAGGTGAAACTCGTGCTGAATAACAACAAGTACTTTGTAGAAAGCTCGGATGCCGAGTTGTTGCAGAAGCTGCTCCGCGATGAAGTAATCGGAAAGTGGCGTGTCCAGGGCTCCGGTGATATTACCACCTCCTATGCGCCCACCATGGGCGGCCTGGTCATCCCCGGCACAAAAGATGCTGCCGGTGTGAACCAGGCAGACCTCAACAAGTCTGGCAACAAGAAGACGGCCGAGGACGGGGCCGCGGGCGCTGCGGCGACTAACGAGGCCGACCTCTACGCAGCCATCAATGAGGAAGACGACGAGGACGACAAGGACGCCGTCCATGCCTTTGAAATCCCCGAAACCGCCGTCGAGATTGTCCAACGACGCTGTCTTGACCTAGGATTTCCCATCTTGGAGGAGTACGACTTCAGGAACGACTCTAATAACGCGGACCTGGAAATCGATTTACGGCCAAACACACAGATTCGTCCGTACCAGGAGCAGAGTCTTAGCAAAATGTTTGGTAACGGCAGAGCAAAGAGTGGCATCATTGTTCTGCCGTGCGGTGCAGGCAAGACCTTGGTCGGCATCACGGCTGCCTGCACCATCAAGAAGGGTGTCATCGTCCTGTGTACAAGCAGTATGTCCGTTGTGCAATGGCGTCAGGAGTTCCTCAAGTGGTCCAACATCAACCCCGACGATATTGCCGTCTTTACCGCTGAGAGCAAGAACAAGTTCTCTGGTAATACTGGTATCATTGTTACTACATATTCTATGGTTACCAACAACCGAGAACGATCTCACGACTCCAAGAAGATGATGGATTTCCTAAAGAGTCGTGAATGGGGTCTGATGCTTCTCGACGAGGTTCACGTCGTCCCTGCCGACGTCTTCCGAAGAGTTATCTCTTCCATCAAGTCGCACTCCAAGCTGGGTCTCACAGCCACCCTACTCAGAGAAGACGACAAGATTTCCCACTTGAACTTCCTTATCGGTCCCAAGCTCTACGAAGCCAACTGGATGGAGCTGTCCGAAAAGGGTCACATCGCCAAGGTCCAGTGTGCAGAGGTGTGGTGCCCCATGCCCACCGAATTCTACGACGAGTATCTTCGTGCCAACTCGCGTATGAAGCGCACCCTTTACGCCATGAACCCTCGAAAGTTCCAGGCCTGCCAGTACCTGATCAACTACCACGAAGCCCGCGGCGACAAGATCATTGTCTTCTCCGACGAGCTGTACTCACTAAAACAATACGCCCTCAAGCTGAATAAAGTCTTCATCTACGGCGGCACCGGCCAAGCCGAGCGCATGCAAGTGCTCGAAAACTTCCAGCACAACCCGCAAGTCAACACGCTCTTCCTCTCCAAGATCGGCGACACCTCGCTCGACTTGCCCGAAGCCACCTGTCTCATCCAAATCTCATCCCACTTCGGTTCCCGTCGTCAGGAAGCCCAGCGTCTAGGCCGCATTCTCCGAGCCAAGCGCCGTAACGACGTCGGCTTCAACGCCTTCTTTTATTCGCTCGTGTCCAAAGACACGCAGGAAATGTACTACTCGTCCAAGCGCCAGGCCTTCCTGGTCGACCAGGGCTACGCCTTCAAGGTGATCACGCAGCTGGCCAACATCGAGAACACGCCCGACCTGGCTTTCGCCACGGCGCAGGAGCGGCGCGAGCTGCTGCAGCGCACGCTGGTCGACAACGAAAAGGGCGCCGAGGATGATGTCGAGACGGACGATTTGTTTGGTAAGGTCGGGCGCGGAAGGGGTGGTGGTGGTGCAAAGGGCAGAGCGGCGGCGGTTCGGAGAATGGCTGGAACCCTGGGCGAGCTCAGTGGGGGTCAGGATATGGCGTACATTGAGCAGAACAAGGCGGCGAATAAGGGGTTGAAGAAGAAGGGTGCCGCCAAGGCGGAGCAGAGCGCCTTCTTCAAGAAGCTGCAGAGGGAGAAGGAGAGGAGTCGGGCTTTGGCGAGACAGGGCTAGAAGAAATCGTCTTGATTTGGGGGGATCCTTGGCTTGTACTTTCTCTCTTTTCCGTCACATCTTTTTATAAAGCCTGCGAAGAAATTTCATTGCTATAAGAGGATATATCCACTTTACGGAAAGTTAAACTGGAATTTAGGGTTAGGTGTGAATATCGTTTTCCATAGACGGAAAAAGCAGTAGTCTTAAGACATCCATATTTTCGGTGTCAACTATGGCATTCAGTTGGATGGTCACGAAATCGTAATATACAATCTAAAAGGGGTTTTTTGAACATAGCACAAATAATTGCCTTGCCTAATGGATGAATGCACCTTAATTCACACAAGTTTGATATGTCACCTAACTTTCAACAAGTTCCTTCTCACTCACTCACTCATTATGAATTAGCTAGTGATCAGTAGGTAGGGTAGTACCAGTACCATTCAAGCTTTCATGTTCTCATCATCTTCATTCCCTCATCAATCTCCCTCCATTTATCCTCCTTCCATCCATCCATCTCACCGAACCACCCACTACCTCCACCGTCCGTTTCAAATACCCTTCCATTCACAGTAATGTATTGTGTTTCAAACGGCAAAAAAAATTCACCTCACATACAATACCCCCTAGGAAACAATCCCACTTCACCCATATACCAACCCACCCCCCACTCCTCATTCAACCCTTCCACCTCGGTGATCTCCGCCCCCTTGGGGAAAATCAGCTCGTTCTTGGCTTCCGGGGAAGATCGGTACCAGCTAAACCGAGCAACCACGCGTGTTCCCGTGCCGCCATCAGGTGGGAAAAGGTCGGTTGTTGTCAATCGGCCTGCTGATGATGAGGTTGGCGATGTTGGTGAGAAAAGTGGTGATGATGGGGATAATGGTTCCCCTTCTCCCTCCTCTTGACCGGGTAAGATGGCGGCGGGGTGGGAGACGTCTAGGGAGACTAGACGTTGGAGAAGGAGCCATTTTTTGGGTTGCTTGTCTTCATCTTCGTTGTCGTTGTCGTTGTTGGTGTCGTCGTTGGTGTCGCCTTGGTCTGCTTTGGAAGAGGAGGACGCACGACGGGAGGTATGTGAGGTATGCGAGGTATGCGAGGTATGGGAGGCATGGGAGGATGTGGGAGAGGGTAGTGGTGGTAATGATGAGGAAGAAGAGTCTGCATCATGCTGCCAACTCCATATTTGCATTCCCCTTACGCCCCCGAGCAGGAAACTCTCAATCTTTAGGCGATGGCCGCCGACAATTTCGTTCAACACTTTCCTCCTTTCAACACCGGTGCGGTCGTCGGTAATAAAGGAAACGATGGTCATGCGGTGGCCGGCGGGTGGACAGCGGCGCCAACCGCGGGGACCGTTTTCTTCGGCTACGGAACCGGGAACCAGGGAGTCGTAGCATCCCTGGCAGAGGTTGTATTCGCCTGCCCGTGGCTGGAGCGTGTGCTTGGATGGACAAGAGGGGCAGTGAAAGCGTGGTTCGTGGGGAGGAATGGGGACGGAGCAGAGTTCGCAGGGCGGGGAGAAGGTTAGAGGTCTGTAGGCGCCGGTGGCGGGGCCGGAGAGGTTGGATCTTGAGAAGGGGGGTGGAAGAGACAGGAATGAGGGGCGGGAGATGGAAGAGGAGCGGGAGTGGGTTGGGGTTGTGGTTGCTGTTGTTGGGTTTGCGAGCGGGCTGGTTGATTCCGCAGCATCAGTTGGTGGTGTACCGCTGGGAGAGCCGGACAAAGATGGAGGTATATAAGTGAGGGCTTGCAAGGGGTGCGAGCATGCTTTTTCCTGATTGACGCAGTTATTGCAGAATCCCCATTCGCCTTCATTGCAGAACTCGCAGCGCCAGTAGCACTCATTGGCAAAAGCAGAGCAGCGGCAGCAGAACGTACCGCTTTGAAGGCGGTCGAGAGGGTTGGCTAGACTGCGGGCGCGAGGACTGGTGTCGCTTGGCTTGGGAGGCGGCATGTACCGGACGGCGATCAGCCGGTGCGGAGGAGGAAGGTTTGGGTGACTTGCTTTGATCTTGTTCCATCGGTGCCAGACGGCGTAGCCGAAACCGAACCAATGAAGGCATCCTTTGCGCTTGCGCCAGCAGTCGAGACAGATGTTCCAGTCGCCGTTGTGGCAGATGGAGCAGTTGAAGTGAAGTTTATACTCGATGTGCTCCATGCCGCAGCCGTTGCAGTTGATGACGGGTTCCGGATAACGCGGCATGTTAGGCGGTGGCTGTGCTGGTGGTGTGCTGCCCAGATGGGTGCTTACGGGGCCCGAGGTTGATACAAAGTTGGGTACCGACGAGGCGGAAGCAAGTTCTGATTGTGCAGAAGATCGTCGATCAGTGGTCGTCCTTGTCCTTCTCCTCCCTGGATTATCAGAATCCGAAGAACCGTCTGTTTGCGTGTGTGGCTGTATGCCCCCTATCCCCGCAACTCGAGCATTGAACGACAGTGCCCTCATGTCTGATGAGTTTGCCGTGGTTGTTGTTAGTAGCGGGTTGCTGCTGATGGTTGGTGAACTGGAGCTTCGTGTCTCCGTGACCACTCCCGCGCTTGGTCTGATTGGTTGCGTCGTTTCGGTCTGTGAACGGTGGTGGGCTGACACACGGGGAGGTGGTTGTTCGCTTTGTGACGGGACTGGCACGGTCGAACTCCGGCTGCCACCGCTTGTCGTCCTTCGCCTTCTCGAAGCTCCCTGAACTTCCAAATGCGCCGAACCCGCGGATGGAGGATATCGATGCCGTTCTTCGTTACTGCTGGCACTTGGTTCCCTCGACCGTGAAACTCTACTGCGTACGCTCGCTGGTTGCGTAGCGTGATCCGATGGCGGTCTCGTCCTCGAGATCGTCAAGGGCTCCGGCCTATATGATTGCGTCGTACTGGCAGTAGTATTCCTCCTCGCATTCCTCTCCGCAATCGCCCGTATCCTCTCCCGGTGTCGTCTCCTGTACGCCTCCATGATCTTATTGCTGAGCTCATCGTTGTTGTCCAAATCGATGTTATCCAGATCCAGTCCATCCAGCAGCCCTTCCTCCTGGATCTGTCGCGCAAACTCCTCAATCTCCCGCTCGATATCGATATCGCCCAGGTCATCCGCGCTGATCAGTGACCTGAGAGATGACTGGTGCTCAAGCTGCCTCGACCGCTCTTCCGCCTCTCGTTGCCGTGATTCACTCCTCAGCCTCCTCCTCTCCTCCGCATAATAGTTCTCCGGATGCAGCGTCGCGCTGTGCGCCCGTATCCTGCTGCTACTGCTGGGCGCAGCCGACGAATCCCTCATCCTCTCTCGATCTCTGCCCACCATACTCCCAGTTCCATTTCCCGAGGCCCTATTCCTACTCACATCCCTACTCGTCCTCCCCTGATGAGATGAATGTGGTGCCAGTGATGCCCTCCTCCTCCTCTCCGATGAACCCCCAACCGCACTCCCGCTTCCCCCTACCATACCCACCATACTCCCCGTCGCACTGCCCGTCCCTAGCATACTACCATTCCCATTGCTCGCCTCCAAAGCTGCCCACGCCTCCCTCAAACTCATCTCCTGCACCTCATGCAACACCCTCCGTTCCTCCTCATCCAGCCTCCTCTCCTCCTCCGTCCTGTCATCCCACCGTTTGATCCTCGGCAGCACTTTACTCCCCTTTATATACCTCTCATCCATTTCCTTGCGTTCCTCCTCCGGCCTTGTTCGCTCGGGGTTCATAGCCAAGAACATCTCTAATAAGGTTACGACGCGCGCATCGTGCTTGGTGTCGCGCACAGGCTCGCGGCAGGCTGGACAGGTGAAGACTTTGTGTTGTTCCGAGGGAGGTGGCGGCGGGAGAGGAGAGTTTTCGGCGCGGTAGGCTTGGGAGGCGAACCATTCTTTTAGACAGGCGCCGCAGAAGGTGTGTAGGCAGTCGAGGAGGGTGAGGGGTTGATAGAGGAGGTCGGTGCAGATCTGTTATAGGGTTGAGGTTGTTAGTGATTATTTTCCAGCGAAAAATGTGTGTGTAGTTCGTTGTTGTGTTTTCGTAGACGGTATGGGCATGGAAGTTGGGAGGGGAAGAGAGGGTGAGTAGTTCGTCCGATGTTATTGTTGTTGCCGTCCGGAAACACATGGCGAACACATGGCTTGGGCGCAATCTGATGCGCATGGCACGGCAGATCCCACACAGGGGACGGACCGTGACAGATGGCATCATGGCATATCATTCCGTCCGAACCAGCCCAAGTTTTGAAACTAGGAAGACTATTGAAAGAAAGAGTAGCTCACCGAGCAAGTCAACTCCGACTCCAAATTCACAGAGGCAGCCGCCTTCTTGATACTCGAGGAAGTAGGTGTTTCCATCATCCTGAAGACCTAACTCGGCGTCCCCTCGCAGTCGACCGTGACCGAGCGCAGCGAGCGGGTATTGGTAACCTTTCGTTTCTCGTCCCGAGTTCAGTCCAGTTCCTGTAGCCTTCCTCTTCTTCAACTTTAGCTTTGGAGGATGTCCGTAACCAAGGCGTCGTCGTCGTTTCGTGTAGGTATGTTCCTCGCTTATTTCCCCGAGCCGAGTCTGTCGTCGTATACTGTTCTCGGGATGTCGTCGTGTAAAGTTTGCGGAGAAGGTCACTGGAATCTTTCAAGCAGCGCGGCGGTGGCGTCGGCGCAAATCGTCCGGTTGTATCTCGAGTATAGGCAGACGGTGTAATCCAGGGAAGGGTTCGGCGCAACAAGAGAAGGGTGAAGAAATGGTGATGCCTCTAGTTCAATGAATTCCAACGTCAGATAGGTCAAGGAATAGATAGGTACACCTGCCAAGAGATGGGGTAAGTATAGTGATTGAGTAAAAGAAAGTTATGTATGCGTTGTAACCGGCACGAGACCCGGTTACGGTCCAACACGATTCAAGGCAAATGAGAGGTTGACAGTGGCTCGAGTAGGGAACGACGGCGGCAGCGTTCGCGATCCTGGCACTGGAACGATGTGCTCTGCGTGGGGCTCTGGTCGATACGGGGTGATGCACGCTATAACCCATAGGGCATAGGACCGCTGAGTTTGCGCTGCCGAACGGCCAGGCATGGGATCTCTCTTATGCATGTCGCAACTAACAGAACACCCCCCTCCCTCCCGCAAACCAACAAATGGACGAATGACGGCTTCAATCACCAGCATTCTCGCCCAGCAGGGAAATACACACGTGTGAGCAAGACATGTTACGACATGCAACCACACCGAAGCATAGTCTTCCTTGGCTTTCCATGGTTTCCTTCACGTGGCTGTGAACAGTACTTTAAGTCTGCGCAGCCCATCATTGTTACATATTTGCCACGGCGTTTAACTACCCAAATGCTATTTGCATCCGATGACATCTTGATCACGTATCAGTTGTCTTAAAAGAAAGATATGATATCTGCTGCTGATGCAATGTAATAATAATAATAATAATACCGTTACCTTCAAGACGCCCGTATTCCTCTCTGTCACAGTGTGTGTGTGTGTGTGTGTGTGTGTGTGTGTGTGTGTTTCTCTAGCGTGCGTATGTATCTGCCTGTTGTGCCAAACTACAACCCTTCATCCTGAAATTCCCAACTCGCGCCCGTGGTCATACCCAAAAACCTAGAAATAATCTCACAAAAAATAAACGCCAATACCTTACCCATCACCATGATTATCGTTATAGATCGTTAACGGGCTCATCACCGCCCTCATAGTCTTTGCACACCCCGAACCATGTCCTGCCACGGCAACATTTACCGCTATCGCCAGGCTGTCCCTCTGGCGGAGTAGCCGTTGCTGACGGGGTAAGCACCGAGCTCGGCAGGGCTGGGGCTGAAGTAATCATAAGCTCTGTCGAAGTGGATGGTGATCCGATATCCGTCGTTGCAGTCTTATCATAGCATCCCCAGAACTTTCCAGGAGTTAGGCATGTGGTACTGCTTGTTGTTGTCGTCGCAGTAGGAGTTGTTGTTGATGTAGTCGAGGTTGTGGTCTTGTCCTTGCAACCGAACCATCCACTGTTTGAAAGGTTAGCAACGTTGATGCCAAGGTTTACTCAGTAATCTACTTACGGAGTGTGGCACGTAGTGGTAGAGGTTGTGGTCACTTCGCTTGTCGTCGTGGTTGCCGTCCCAGTTGTGGTAGTGGTTTCGTCCAAACATCCCCACCATCCCCTGTCACTTGTCAGTATACTTGCAAATACTAGGTGATATCAAAAAAACTTACGGAGTTTTGCAGGTTTCAGTCCGGGTCCGGGTCTTGGAAGTCGAAGTGGGCGCGCTCGAGGTGGTCGTGGTTTCGGTTCCATTGCTTTCATACATCTTCCAATTTCCGCAATCTCTGCATTCCGGTGTAAACCTGCACTCGGGGACCTTTTCATACTTTCTGAGGACATCTTGAATAACCACACGAATCTTGTGGGTGCCAATGCCAACACGCCAGCCCAAATCACCAACCGTATCATAGACACACTCCCGGCCGGTGTGACAAGCTGACTCCATTGCATATCCGCCAATAGCGCACGTTGCGGTAGCTCCGTTACAGGTACCGACGTACACCGGATCGGCTGTGTGACCAATGTGGAAAGCTCCCGTGTACTCTCGAGTCTGAGGCGCATCTGGATCCGATCCAGGGGGGATAGGAAGTCCCAGTCGCTTGGCAGGGAGAGCTTCGGGGACTGCCTCGAACGTCACAACCGGGTCACCATAAGTCAAGCCAAGCAAAGAGCTCATGGCTCCTCCAAGCGAATGCCCGACAATCCACACGTTGGCGTCGGGGTAAAGCTCAGTGACGTTCGCATAAAGCTCGCGACCGGCTTGGTAATAGCGGTTCTCTTGGCGCAATGCCTGGACGACACAGGTGTTGTTGCAAGAGTAAGTGCCTGTCGCGCAATCACAAACTTGGTGCCAGGTCCAGGGTCCTTGCTGAGCACAGCAACAACTGAAAAAGAGGTTGTCGTTGACCTTGTCGTTGGTGGTGGTGCCGTCACCGTCGAAAACAGCAACCGATGTTCCCTTTAAGCCGATAACGATGGTCGAATTCGTCTCATCGGCAAACACATGGCCCCGGAGTCCATCACCCTCCCATCCAAAATCGAGGCTCCTGTTGAACGGGGCCCCAACATCCTCCCAGTCTGCGCCATCCGGAGTCTGCACATAGGCATCAGCAGCCATAAGCGCCAATGATATGATGGTGTCTTTATCCGTAATATCAGGTCCGGCAACCTCGTCCATGGTCCATGCCTCGGGTGATAGGACGGAAGCGTAGCCTTGTTGTCGTGCATAAGCGACCATAGGATCTACGACGCTAGGCCTCCGGTCGGCAAGTCGTTGTATCCGCACCGGGCTGCTGCGCGCCTTGAGGGTTCCGATGCGCTCTTGGCCATATTCATCGTCGGCCGCTAGCCATACGTCGGCGTTCTGTGCGGGTACATCCTTTTTGCGGTGCAGTGTCGGATGTTCGTAGGTACCGTGGTGGTAGATGTGTCGGAGTGTCTATCGGTGGCAAATCTGTGTTAGTGGCCGCTTCTTGATAACGAAAACAAACGGGACGTACGAATTTGTGCTCAGCCGGTGCTGGAGGCTCTGGTAGAAGTGGCTTGATGGGTGATGCATCGATTGGTAAGACTATCTGCGCATTCGGTTCTTCGTAGAAGAAAGCGTTGACGAGTGGTGTTGTCGTGAGAGCGAGAAAGGACAAGGCCAGTTTGGCGGTGACTCTAGCAGCGGATGTGCAACTGAATGCATCCGCTTTCCTCTTCCCAGAGGGTAACATGTTGAGAGAGGGTGGCGGTCGTGGCCAGTTGAAGATGGGGTTGGAGATGTACGAGACAACTTGAAAGTGAAGAAAACGAAGAGGATAAAAGAGAAGGTGTCGAACGTGGTTCGCCTCTGTCGAACAAGGGGATGTTGTCAGTTAAAGGTCAGTTGATGGATGTGGTAAGAGTAGGTTGTTGGGGGAGGGCGGTCCGCGGCTTCTTTGGGTGGTTTGAGGTTTGGTTGTAGAGGGTGAATGACCTCCCGCGTGGCGTGCGTCTCACTGCGGTGCAGTGGTGCCTGCCTGTCACCTGCGACAGAAAGATAGCGTGTTGGCACCGGAATCGTTGATTGACGGACAGCCAGTGATGACGATCGCAGCCACTCAATGCCAACGGCCGATGGCGGAAAGGCGTAGGTAGGTCCAGGTACCTCTCAAGGTTCCCCTCCTTATCAGCGATAACACTCACTGCCTTTAGGTCCCCACAACAAGTGGAAACTGGGGGCGCAAACATGCAGATGGTGTGGCATGCACCATGCGTTGTCACTTCTTTAATCAAATGAGGGTTAGGGTCTGCCATGAGAGTCGGAGTCTGAATCAAAGTGGTCGAGATCGACACACTGGACGTTGGAAATCGTAACCTTGACACCCATGACATGCAGTCCAGGGCGGGACATTGCATTTCTTCAATGTATTTGGCCACGAGATACAACATCATCTGATTTTGTTGTTTTGGATGAGTTCAGTTTGTTGAATACCTAGAGGTACCTAGCAAGTGGCCTCTTTTTTTTTCCTCTTCAGTTTCCTTGACACTTTGATATGTATCTGCCAGGTGGAGTATCTGCCAGCAATGTCATTCCACCCGGGCTGCAGTGGCAGACAGAACACCACCTCTGCAAGAAGTCGCCTAGCTCGGACCCTAGAGACACACATCTCCCGTCGTCTCCGTCAGGCATCTCCCACAAACATGAACTTGTTCACAAGGACTCGAACATTCGATGTCTGGACCTTTGAAATACCATTAAATTATGGACACTGCTTTGATGACTCAAGCATCAAGTGCCCCCGGCTTTGACTGTTGCTCCCCTTCAGCCGGATCCAACCTTGTTGTTTCAAACTGTCTCGAATTCTCATGCACTGGTCTTTTGCTTTGGGTGTAAGTACTGCCCTACTATCATCCATGTCATGATGTGTCCCCCGGCGTCAATCATATCGTCTGCCAGCACCTCGTCTATCGTCAATTTCTCCACTGTGGAGTCATTCATCACAGTAATGTCTAGGAAGTCCCAGCTCCCAATACGTTGCGCGTCGCACTTCACCTTCGCTTCCTAGAGACCTACACTTCTAACTTCAAATCAATACAACAGTGAGACAAGCGGTATTATCATGTCCTTCAGTAGCAACAACCCGCCGCCGCGGCTGAGTCCTCTCCGGACATCTCGCTCCTTCACCCGCCTCGATCCTCCTTCCACGCCTCCAGACATCACGCGCCCCAAGAGAGCGAGCACGATACAGTCCCCAGTCAAAGACACTTCCGAGATGCCCGACACGTTCGAACGCAGAGTCAGCTTGGACTTGGAGCCCCCGAGGTCGTCCATCGATCTGGAAGGACTCCCCATCGAGTTGGTCGCCCTGACAGACAGCTTCATCGACGGCCTAGTCGCAAAGGTGCACCCAGCACCGCCCAACATCGATTCGCTCTCTCAGCGCTTTCAAGACTTTTATGCTACTGCCGCCTCCCACATCCAGACCCATATCGACAGTCTAGCCACTCGACAAAAACGCGATGACTTTGCAGCATCTACCTCGGGCACGCGCCAGTCTGCGGCCAGTATACTACGCCAAAAGGCTGCCCAACTGGGCAGCAGCAGCAAGGAAAAGCTCAAGGCGGGACTTTCAAGGCGAGACTCGGAAATGCTCACCCCCGAGGAATACGCCGAACGTAGGAAGGCAAGGAAAGCGTTGGAGCAGCAGCGGATACTGTTGGAGGAAGCTGTAGAGAGGAGGCTTTGCGAAGGCATCTACGGAAGAATTTACCGCCATCACACCACACAGGATGAAGCGCAGGATGACAAGCTCCGATCAAAAACTGCCGCTTTGGCCGTGGTAGGCATCGGCCCCAGCGATCTGGGAGTGGACATTGGAGACATCGACAAAAGCGACCCCGGAGCCGTGGCCAAGAGAACAGAAGAGGTCAGGGACTGGCTGGAAGGGGCGAGGAAAGAGTTGATACTGATGAACCAGTCGCGGTATCCCCTGGGCAAGCTAAACCATCTCAAGGCAGCGCATAAAGCCATCATCGACACTCTCTCGCATTTCCACCCTTCCTCATCCGCAGACGAGCTTATGCCGATGCTCATCTTCACCCTCATCACCCTCCCGCCCGAGAACCTCAACGTCATAAGCGACGTCAACTTCATCCAGCGCTTCCGCTGGGAACCCAAACTAGTGGGCGAGTCATCCTACTGCCTCACCTGTCTCGAAGCCGCCATCAGCTTCCTCGAAACAGTTGACCTTTCCACTCTCCGCGCCGACGAAGCTCCCACCGGACCCGCAAAGACTCCCACTGGCTCCTCAATACCTCGGGCAGAGACATTCCCTCCCGCCTACTCAGCCGGAGTCTCCTCCACCCCCAGCCCATCCTCCGAGTCCAACAATAGCCTCAAGCCTCCCCTCTCCCGCCACGCCATGCGGCTGCGTGATCGCCGGCTTAGTGATTTGGTGACGCAGCCGGCACAAGCCTTCAACGCCGCCAGCGACGCCGTCTTCACCACGGCCGATCAGAGCCTCAAGACCATCGGCATCAGCTTAGGCGATAGCTACAAGTTCCTTGTTGGCAAGATGCGCGAGCACCAGGAGGCCATCGTGCCCAAGACACTTGAAGATGCGCGCAAGCTGATCGGCACACCACCGCCTCCTCTTCTCGAAGATGACGGCAATTCCATGGCGGGGAGCGCAAGCGTGAGGAGCGCCGCCAGCTCGGTTCACACGCCTGACGAGGGTCTGCATCCACTAAAGCGGTCCAACACGCCCAGCAGGTCAGCGGATGATAGGGTGTTGAGCATCATCGGCGGGAGAAAAGCATCATTAGCAACAAGGGATACCAGCGCCGACAGCGCGGGCACCACGAGGAGTGTTTCGGGGTCAGGGAAGCGGCCAACGGTGGAGGAAAGAGCGGCTGCGGCTGTGGCTGCTGGGATGAGCGGCGGTGGTGGTAGTGGGTCATCAACAAAGGAATCCAAGGAAGGAAACTCGGCTACGACGGGCACCGCGACGACCCCTATCCCGACTTCGGCATCGGCGCCTCCCGCTTCGTCGAATCCAGCGCTCATTGATTCCGTCAGGAACCTGAGCAGCTCGTTTAATCCAATGGCAAGGTTCTCGCAGGGTATCAGCGGACTAAGGAGCTTTGGCAGGACCACACCGTCCACACCGTCATCGGCGGCACCCCCTCCGCCTGTGGCCAAGGACAAAGAGATGCCGCCTGTGCCAGGGAAGGGGACGCCGGTGGCGGATGGCGGGGACTTAGCTACGGTTAGTGTTTTTTTTTTTTTTTTTTTTTTTTTTTTTTTTTTTTTTTTTTTTTTTTTTTTTTTTTTTTTTTTCCTGTATTCCTTCCTCCGTGATGTAAACGAACACCAACTAACATTTCCTCAAACTCCACACACAGGCCTTCCCCGACCTAGCCCCCGCGCTCCCACCAAAGGAAATCCCCAAGATTGAACCGCCCATCAAGCGGTTCATGGAGGTTCAGAACCCGGCCGATTTGCGGATAGGCGAAGTGTTGGATTTGCTGAGAGATTATAGAAGGCTAGCGGGTGCGTTGAAAGATGTGGGTGCTTTTAAGGAATAACTTACTACTGGTAGACAATGCGGATAATATATATATACGCAGATGCGATGCATATCGGAAGAATTACTAGGTGGAGAAGGGAGTTATATTTGGATTGGATTTAAAGAGACGCGGTGCATTTGTTTGTTTCGGTTTGTTTTGTTCCAGTGGCTTGGAGGTAGAATGGGGAACAATAGTCATATTGTATAATGGGAGGGGGGTGGGAGGGGGGAAAGGGGGTTTGTGTTGATGGTCGTCAAAGGATCCGTCATGCCTTTTTGAAGATGGATATGTCTGGTATAATACAAGCGACAACCCAATTATCAAACACTTACTTGTATCCTCGGCTGTGGTTGAAAATTTTCACTTTCATCTTCATGGCGCCTCCGAACCTCCAAAACCAGTGCAGCTGCTCATATAGTTTCGTCGCTGCTCAGAACAGGTGATCGCATTTCTTCACTTAGTTGTCTCTTGACCCAAAACTCACATTCAAGAATTTGGAGCCTCTGAGGTTTTGTCCAAATTCGAACCTCATTTTTTATAATAGATGGCACCTGAAGTGCTTTAGAGAGTTGGTTCACAAAGAGGTCAGAAAGGACAAGAAGGCGAAGTGTTAAGGTTTTCCTCCTTCTTTTTAAAAGGTCCAATGACTTATTCAAGATTTCATGGCCTCAAAAATTCTTTACCTGGAAACCAAACACGGTTTAAGTAAGTTGGTATGATCGGAAGACACGTTAAATCTCGAGGGGCAATCTTGTGACTTGGCAATTGTTCCTATAGTGCTGTGAAAGTATCGACTAATCTAAATAAATCGCTGTTTCGCTGGTTGTTCCTGTTTCTCCTCCATACTCCTGTGATCATTGAATCACCGTTTGATTTGGCGACGGGCATCTTCAAGTTGAATGTCAAATCCACCAACATCGTTTATGCCCCCGATACCGGATAACCTGTTTCCAAGATACTCTCGACCTCAACCACAAATTCGGCAAACCAGAAAGCCAGAAACAAAATCCTCTTCAATGAACCAAAAGCCCAACAACCTTCCTCGCAGTGAAATCAACAAAGCTGTTCCAACCTGTCCCTGCATCACCATTCGGAAGCTGACGAAAATGTAAACTCAAGCATTATGCCTGAGCTTCAATTACATCCCCAAACCGAAAAGCTTGTCCAAAGCAGTCAACAGCAAACTTGGATCCGGCCGCTCCGGGTTCAAGATTCCCTCGCTCAACAGCGCCACCATCACATGCTGCGGCACCTTGTCCAAAATGACATTCCACGCCGCCAAAGCATGGGCGTGATTGGCAGGATCAAGGCCCGCCGCACAATCATCATGATACGCCCTGTCGAGCCCTTGATACCACGCTTGCCACGAGCAAGATTCGCTGTTCCATTTTGGGTATTCGTTCAGACGACGGAGGACTGGACTATCCGAAGCTTCCTCAACATCCTTGGAGTGAATATGGGCATGGGGAGGCAGCGCGCTAGGTTCAGATTCGGACTGGATTCGCCGCTGGACATGGTGGTTTGCATTCTCCTCGGTAGTGGTGACAGTATTCACGTCTTTAAGTGCAGCGGTGACGGCCTCAATGACATGCTGTAGTCTCCAGTCGTTCGTGGAAGAATGTGCATACATTTCGTCCCCGGCAGCATACATTATGTAGGCGAGAGCATTGTCCTTTTGTTCGCCCATCTTGCTGTTGTGGTACGTTTGCATGAGTTCGTCCACCTTGGATGTTACTGTGTTTGCCGTCGTCGTTGTGCTTCCGTCATCTGAGGATGGATCTGGCGTTGGGATGGGAGGTTCTGATTCGCACGCTGCGGCGCTAGCTTCCCTCTCTGCCAGCACCTTGGCTTCGCTCGCCTCGCGTCTCTTCACCCATTTCTCGCGCTTGTCTGAGCCCATTGTGACGTGGAAGTTGATATCTGGGTAAAGGAGGTAGATGTGTGTAAGATCAAGAAAGGGAGTACAAGACCGAGAGAAGTAACAATGAAGCAAAGTAGGTTGTGAGGTGAGAGGAGTTGTGAGGTGCACGTAGTGGATGAAGTAAGTATGGAAAGCTGTGAAAGACGAAGAAAAGAAACGAGAGAATGTGAGACATGGGGGCTATCATAAATAAACACCAAATGCGGGACATTCGTTGGGTACTCGCGACCTCGAGAAGAGAAAGCACGACTGCTATGATGATGTGGGCTTCGTTTGACTCTATTCGGCAAGAAAATGTGGAAGTCGCTGTACCATCATAGCTTCATTTTGTCACTTCATGTTTTGGAGGAGAGGTTCGCCCTTGGCTTCTCAGATCAGCACTTTCTTTTCCAACCAACATATGCTGCGTATTTGGGCGGGAGCGGGATCTTAGCGACTACGCCTGCCGAGTAGTATCTTTCATGCCTTCCGGACGTCGCCTGTCAGTCATCGATAAGCAAGCTCTAAAATGTGACTATTGCAGTCAAATAAGAAAGTTCTTGCTTCAACATGGTTGTAGCGAACTTGGGAAGAGCATAAAATCGCTGTCGACGTTCAGTTGCGACACACGATCACATATCATTCGGATCGCTGACGGTAACCAGGAGAACAGACGGGAGAGCTACGGCAGACTGCTTTCCACATCTATCTGGATTATGACTCTTGACAAGTCTTTAAGATCTTCAACTTCCTGAGTGCGAACTTCGCGACTGACTCCTTCCAGTCTCTTTCTTCCCTCTCCTCCCTCTCTGCCGAGGTTCCAGGTCCCAGGTTCCTGCCTCTTTCTGGACCATTTCGGGAACAACTACAGGCAAGTATAGAGCACCAGTAAGATTAAGCTCAAGAAAGAAAGTGCAGTCATGACCTAGCTCATCTTTCCTTTCGAATTCTAGAGTGTCCATCTTCGTGACAGCCGAAGTGACATTGAAAAGGGGCAACTCCCTCCAATCAGGGTTAGGGTTCTGTAGCGCCTTCCTTCTCTCCAATATCCTCCCACCACCCGACCCAAACACAGCTTCTCGCTTCAAGCTGCTACTTCCATCCTCACAACGCAGCCCCACTTCCATTTTCATCATCTCACCACGGAAGCTGGAGTCTGCAAACTCATCACCACTCATCTTACAACATCAAGTCGCCCACTCTCTCAACTCACCGATCCGTTGCCCGCCCTTTCCATTCGCAGCTTCTCGTCACCGACCCAATATCCAAAATCAAAATGGGCAAAGACAAGAAAGCCTCCGGTTCCGGCTCTGGCAGCAAAGGCGGCAAGGACGCAGGCAAAGATGCGGGCAAGGACGCCGGCAAGGCCAGCAAGGGTGCTCAGTCGATTAACGTTCGGCATATTCTGGTAAGCGCTTTTCCCAGTGTCTTGCCCTTCAGTTGGCTCCTGTCTACTCTTCTTGTCGAAGTGGTGTATCATGCGGGCGGTTACTGATGAACTGTATAGTGTGAGAAACATGGCAAGAAGGAAGAAGCGCTGGCTAAGATCCGCGATGGAGCGGATTTTGGTGCTGTTGCTAGGGAGTACAGTGAGGATAAGGCGAGGACTGGTGAGATACCTCTTTTTCCTTTGTCTGCTTCTTATTGAGTTCATTGTAGCGGGCTGTTTCACAGTTGTTCATCCCGTTGCCCTTTTTTGGGCCGTTCTGGCGGATTGTTATGGTTTTTTTGCAGTCAATGTCACTCACTCACTTACACGGAACATTATAGGCGGAAGTTTGGGTTGGAAGCAAAAGGGCACCTTGGATCCCGAGTTTGAAAAGATTGCGTTTGCTTTGGAGACCAGCAGCACCAGTAGCCCCAAGATTGGTGAGGTCAAGACACAATTTGGCTACCACATCATCATGGTAGAGGGTAAGAAATGATATCAAAATGCATACTACGACCTTTGGGTGTTAGTCCCCTTTTCCATTGCCCATTTGGAGAACACGTCCCTTGCTCTTCCCATGGGCTTGTGACGCCGTTGACGCCATTGACAATGGCATACGAATTGCAGGACTTGACGCATAACAACACGATTCATACAGAGTCACTTCAAGAATTGGCCAGCAGTTTTTGGACCTTTTACGTTGTTTATTGCCCCTTGCAGGGAAGCCAGTTAAGGCCTGCTCTAAGCATTTGTGCCAGTCGGTAAGGTCTACCCAAGCGTACGTCCAACCAAACACGGGGCTTGTTAGAGCCAATGTCTGGGACGCGTCTGCCGCCTGTCCATCCCTACGTGTTCCGCCTCGCCAAGATGCGAATCGCCAATTTACTGCTCGGTCTGGAAGTAGTTGAGGAGGATCTATAGTGTGATTTGTCAGTAAACTGTGGCTAAACAGCAGACTCGGGTATAATTCTTACCTCACGCTCGGAGGACATCTCACCCCAGTTCTTAACAACGACGCAAGAGCAGTTGACGACCTTGCGGGCGTTACCCTCACGGTCAAGGACGCCTAATAGCACAGTCAGCAAAATAGCCCGAAGATGTGTTGTTCGAATAACAGGTGTACTCACAGAGACCAGCCCACTCGCCGAGCTGCTTGCCATCGGGAACCTTGATGAGGGGGATCTTGTGCTCGGAGCAGAGAGCAATGACAAGCTTCTTGTAGGCCTCCTCCTCGCAGGACTCGTTGAGGACGCACATGTGAGCCTCACGGCGGTCGAGGGCCTTGGAGGCCTCACGGAGACCGCGGGCAAGACCGTCGTGCATGAGGGAGATCTTGAGAACACCCTTGAGGGCATCAAGAACGCTCATCTGGCCCTTGGGGGCAGCATCGGCGGAAACCTCAACCTCCTCGGAGGCGGGGACAGTGTTCTCTTCTACGTCCGACTACAATTCCACAAAAAGACCATGTTAGCGGGAGTGTTCTTTTGCTTCCTCATTGTAATCGGGTCGTGTCGGACTGAAGATGTCGGGGCGTTTGGCGCCGTCGATGTCGGGTATGCCTAGTTCGTCATGCTTCTTCTTTCGAGATGTAATCGGTTCTAGGATATCGAATCGACGGTCGCGACGGCGACACTTCAGCTCGCACGTAGGGGACGGGACGGGTGTCTCACCATCTTGGCGATTTGCTTGGGGTTGTTGTCGGATACGATCCTCGAAGAGTTAATGGAGAAAGTATTTCAATGGGTGGTGGTCGAGGGAAGCGAGAGGGGCCTGCGAGTTCTCGTCTTTCCGCGAAGAGCAAAAAGCTCTGGACAGAAATTATGTGCGCGCACCGACCACTTCCCCACACCACGCCGTCCGCCAGCGCGAAACCGTCGCTCCAAAATTCCGAAATTTTGTGTGATGCGCCTGAAGGGCACCTCTGCCGGCCCGACGAGCGCCAAGAGTAGCCCAGCTACCCAGCGTTAGGGCATTCGCACGGGGCACTTTTTGCATGGTAACGCACAGACCACCACCACAGAATCCACCCGCCCGCTCGAAATTTTTAACAAAAGACCATCGCGACCTTGACGGCTTCTTCCCCTCTCACCTGCTAGCTTGTCCGTCCTCTCAGCATCAAGCCCATCACCGAGGTATGTGAAACTACGACGCCGGAGAATGTCCTCGACAACAGGATAATGCCCTTCGCAAAGGCCCAGGAAAGCAATCAGCTCGCGATGGTGAAAGTCGACGACCACTGATACGCTTCTCCTCGTCGGCAACTGAGCGGGCAGAACCCTTGGGACACCTTCACTGCGTTGTTCCAGAGGGCACTCTCCATGCTCACGGGGCCTCGAAGGCTAACATGCATGGATCTGGCAGATACCTCTGATCCCATTCCCGATTTGAGAATCTCCTCAAATAAACCGTCAAGATGGTCCGCACTTCCGTTCTCCACGATGCCCTCAACAGCATCAACAACGCCGAGAAGGCCGGCAAGCGCCAGGTCTTGATCCGCCCTTCTTCCAAGGTCATCATCAAGTTCCTCCAGGTCATGCAGAAGCACGGTATGTTCGAATCGCAAACCCAACTGTCAGATATTATTGGCAAACGACGAAGGGAACCGTGGAAAGACTCTCGCAATCGAACACTCCCTCATCACTTCCATATCCACCACACCATTCGGCGTATAACTAGGCCGAGGTCTCACTACGCTCCACGATCTTAGTCTTTTAAGTCGCCGATATATCAACTGCGAGAGTCTTACACGTTACTGGAGTCACCAATGATATCTAATGTTTAAACTGTCGCGACATTTCACTGACACTTTTGTCCTTCAGGCTACATCGGCGAGTTCGAGGAGGTCGATGACCACCGCTCCGGCAAGATCGTTGTTCAGCTCAACGGCCGCATGAACAAGTGCGGTGTCATCTCCCCCCGCTACAACGTCCGCCTCGCTGAGCTCGAGAAGTGGGTTGTCAAGCTCCTTCCCGCCCGTCAGTTCGGCTACGTCATCCTCACCACCTCTGCTGGCATCATGGACCACGAGGAGGCCCGTCGCAAGCACGTCTCCGGCAAGATCATCGGCTTCTTCTACTAAGCGGATGTTTCTCGCTAAAAGTCGGGAATGAGGAGGATCTCTAGCAAGCCATGCTTTGGGTGTTGGGGAAGTCGATGGGAGGATGATACCTCTGTCTGGTTTCTGCAAGTAATGTTGCAGCATATAACCCACCTCAAAAATTGAAGAGCTGGTTCCTCCACCAATCTCTGTTCAACTTTGATCTCAAAATCGAGTGATGTGATGAAATGAACCTCATGTGTAGATGAAAGTGATGTGGTAAAAATGAGTATGTTGAGTAGTTGGGTGAAGTTTCTTACAGGAGGAACCATGAAGCTGAGACGAGTGGATTGCCGTCAATGTGTTTGGCAGCCGCACCACGTTGACATGGGAATTGCTTCATGTTCAGCCAGCACCATCAAGGCGACGGACGCGTAACATTGCCCCTGAAGCCGTGGAGCTTGCGCTGACCTGGAGATGCAGATCCCTGCTGATTCTAGACACCGCCCGAGTCTGGTCAGGTACCCGTAGTTAAGGCTAACCCACCGCCCGCCCCTCCTTGGCCCCTGACGCCCGCATCAAGTACGCCACTTCGTTTAGATGTCCATCTTGGGGTACCTGGGTCACCTCGGTTACTCCAAAATTAGGAAACGGGCAGGAAACAGGCACACAGGCACTTCGGGGATCTTGATTCTTTAGGTGCAGTGAGTTTAATCCGTGGAAGAGGACACTTTCCAGATGCTGTGACAGGCCACTTTTCTCGTGTTTCTTTTTTTTTTTTTTAAACTTTTTTTTCTGTACCAACCAATTTCTTGAGCTTTGGGTCTACCCTACAGAGCCAAGCCATATCACTGTTCGTCCGCGGCAATGCCAACCGCGGGCAATTGGGCAGCTCAACACCACTGTCACCGACAACGATAAACACTTTAGTTCCAATTTTTTTTGTGACCGACTTGCCGCTTGTTCGAAGAAGGCGCTACGAAGCTACAGAAATCCCCCCCTCGGTATTCTAATTTGGAGTTCGAACCTCCATCTCTACACCAGCAACATCGGCAGTAAAGAATTTGGACGAGCATAGCCGATGGGAAGAGCAAGCTACGCCACGTAACGATCGACCGACCGACCTACCTACCCTACATAATACTGACACGATGCGGTCCCGCCAGCTCTTGATCCTGGTGGGAACCGTCTTTATCTTCTTCTGCATCTACTCGCTCTTCACCTCCTCCTCGACCCTCAGCCAAGGGCAACAGAGGTTGAAAGACTCTTACCAGAATGGCGCCCACCACCTCCCGCACCACAACATCGACTTCAAGTCCAAACCGGCCGCGATCCGACCTCCCAAACCAGCCCCGAAAGGTTCCCACCCAATATGGCATCTGACCATCGACGCCGAGCGCGATCTCGAAGCTACCAAGACCCGTCAGTCTCGTACCCTCAAGGAAGCCGTCAAGGAGTACCGCAGGCGGTACGGACTGCCCCCACCTCCCAACTTTGACAAGTGGTGGGCTTTCGCCAAGGAACATGATGTCCAGCTCGTCGACGAATTCGACATGATCCACGAACTCATCACCCCCTTCTGGGGACTCTCGCCAAGAACCATCCGCATGCGCGCTAAGGAAGCCCTGGGATTCGACGGAAACGCCCTTATTGGCCTCCAGATCCGTGACGGCGAGATCGTCTACGTCCGTGGCGGACAAGAGTGGCAGGTCGAGGCGACCAAGGGTATGATGAAAAAGTTTAAGCAGTGGCTACCGGATATGGACCTGGCTTTCAACATTCACGACGAGCCGCGTGTTGTCGTTCCCGCTGAGGACATGGCGCGGCTGGTTGGGCGGGCGAAGAACGTCAACATGCCCGCGGCGAACAAGGGGTCTGCCTACCGAAACGACTTCACCCGCGATCCCGATGGCGGACTCAGTCCTACCGGCAGCTTCTCCGAGGAAAAGTTCACCCGGTTCAACGTATTTGCCCACCAGCCCACATGGACGCACTCGCGCATGAGCTGCCCGGCCGACAGTCCTGCTCGCCTCATCGACGAAGAAGGCGCCGACAAGCCCCAGCGGCTCGACGACGTCAGCCAGTTCGGCCTGGGCGAGCTCGGCTTCGTATACAACTGGACTGCCATGTCGGACGTCTGTCTCTCGCCCTCGCTCTCCACCACCTTCGGCTTCTTCGACCGCCCCAACGCCTACAACGTCGTGCACGATCTCTTCCCCATATTCTCGCAGAGTAAGATTTCCTCGTACGCCGACATTCTGTACCCTTCCCCCTGGTACTGGTACGAAAAGGTCCCCTACGAAGAAGGCAAGGACCCGCTCTGGGACGACAAGGCCAACCAGCTGTACTGGCGCGGTTCCACAACCGGCGGCTTCTCGCGCAACGGGGGATGGCGCCGCCAGCATCGTCAGCGCTTCGTGCAGAAGATCAATGAGCGCGACACCGCGAAGGTGCTGGTGAACAAGGGCAAGAACGAACAGAACCCGGATTGGGTAGTCAACGAGGTGTCACGGTCCGACTACCGCGATATTATCAACGTGTTCTTCTCGCACATCGGCCAGTGCGACCCGGGCGACTGCGACGCGCAGCGTGAATTTTTCGAGGTCAAGTCGTACGCCGAGCAGGTGGATGCGTTCAAGTACAAGCATGTGCTGGACATTGACGGAAATGCGTTTTCCGGTCGGTTTTATGCGTTCCTCAAGAGCAGGAGTCTGGTGTACAAGTGGGCCATTTTCAGGGAGTGGCATTATGAGTGGCTGAAGCCGTGGGCGCACTTCATCCCGCTGAGCACGCAGGGAGAGGACTGGTTGGAGACGGTCCGGTTCTTCAGCGAGGAGAGCGCGACAGTCAGTCAGGGGACGAAGGAGGCCGAGCGCGTGGCGATTCAGGGGAGGGAGTGGGCGAATAAGGTGTTGAGACATGAGGATATGGAGGCGTGGTTCTTTAGGTTACTTCTGGAGTAAGTGCTTTCTGTCCCCTTCATTTGTGAGGTTGGTTAAATGGTATGCTAACGTTTGGATAACAGATACGGCCGTGTTATTGACGACAACAGAGAGAACATCGGCTTCCTTCCATGAAGAAACTTTCCATCAGAGGGGAGTCCGCAAACGCAAACTGCAAGAAGCTAAAGAAAGAAGAGGAGGAGGAGGACTCAAACACCATAAGGCATAATGGAGACCACCCACGGCTTCAACCATCGCAGCATCTCGCCTTCTTATTTCTAACACGTGAATTTCACGCCCCGACATGAATTTGTGGATATGGCGACGGACCAAAACTTCCAAGCTAAACAAAAATCGACTGGCCACATCTATGAACCTGTGAATGCCGAGCAGTTTAGCACACTTTCCCCTTTTTAACTGCGTGTACCTACTTCCTTACTTCACAACTGGTGTACTTTGTTTGGGGGGGACCTTGGATTAATGTAATTACTAGACATGAGATATATATAAAGAGAAACTCTATTCGCACGGGGATAAAACTCTATTCGCACGGGGGGTAAAAAGTGAAACTTGACTATGTTTTTTTATACCTTAAGAATTCTAGTAGAGGGTAGTAAGGTATATCATATTTTTTCTTATTCTTTACTCTATTTACTATAGCTTTTCCAAGAGCTGTAGGTGTTTAGTAGCTCGAGAAAATCCAGGAGAATGAAAGTGAATTATTAAAAATAATAAAAAGAATTTTTGATACAAAAATTTAAAAAAGTAAGATCTAGGTTATATTTCGGGGTATAAAACTGAAATCTGAACCTAAAAATCCGCAGAAAATCAATGAGTAATTTGGTACTACTCTAAGCCTCATACAACAAAGTCTGATTAAGTTATACTTAGAAAAGCAAAGGTGGATCCCTGTGCGAATAGAGTTTCATCCCCGTGCGAATAGAGGTTCTCTATATAAATGTGTACATGGGCACATATGACGGACACAAGTAAGAGGAGCCGTGGCTCCGGGCTGTTATTGATGGCTTGGTATGTTCTATAAAGTCTAAACAGTCACCACTGTTCTTGCATGTAAGCCAGTGAAGAAGATGACAAGAGTAATTATAGAGTTCAATATGGGATTGATACCTTTTAATTATTTCGCCTTATGTACCTTGATCTTTATAAACCCTGATTATTATAACACTGCTTGCTTGATTTACAGTTCCTAGAAATACAGGGGGCATTATCCGATGATTTTGTTATATTCTGTCAACTAAAAAAAATAAAAATGAGCCGACCTCAACTTCACTAAAATGCGAGCACATCAGAAAGAACCCGGTTAACCCACTAATTGTATGGAGACGGACTTTCCCTGCTATGCTCATACTGCATAAGCTTGCTTTGGGTTTTTAAAACTATCACTAAGTGTAATGTAATCTTATCTAACACAATCAAAAAAAGTAAAGATATAAAAGTCCACCCAAGACAAAAAAATCCGCCCTTATTCCTCCCATCCCACCAAAGTTTCCTATCCCGTCTCCTTATTCATCCATCCATCCATCCATCCATAACACATCACCCATCGCTCATCCATCCATCCCATTCGATCCAAATCCATATACCACCAAGAAAAGTGAATTACGTAAACAAGAAAGGGAGAAGAAGAAGAAGAAGAAGGGGAAAAGTAGATGAGCACAGGGGATTCAATCACTTCATTACTAATGATACCCATTCGGCTTGTTCGTCCCCGGAGTCCCAGGGCTCTTGGGCGACATCATCAGCCCATTACTCCTACTATCTCCCCCGAGCACCGACTTGCCCCCGATACTAGCATGGCTATTATGCCTACTATGACTGATACTACCTCCAACCGAAGCGCTATGGCTGTGGTTTGGCATCTGCCCGGGCGCCGCCGCACCACCACCGGCTACACCACTAGCCCTACTGCTCCTTCTGCTACTTGCGCTTGCCGCCCTACCCTCCTGTTCCGATATCAACTTTTCCATAAAAGCAATGTAATCGTACTGCTCCATGCCGCGGTCGCTCTGCATGTCCGGGCCGGTGTGCTTCGGGATGATCTCGATGAGTTTCTCAATAACCTCGTCGGGGACCAAGGAGTGGCGGAGGTCCATTTCGGTCACGTAGGGTTTCCCGTCGGCGACTTCCCGGAAGGACTGGAACACCTGCTCGGCCGTGTTCTGGTCCTCGGTCACGTCCACCATGAAGCGGATGAACTGCTCGAACGTGACGCGGTCTCGGCCGTTGGAGGTAGACAGGAAGTACTCGTGCATTTCGTCTTCGGAGAAGACAAGGCCCAAAGAGGCCAGGGCGGCGCTGAATTCGAGCTCGGACAGCGAGTTGGTGTCGTCCCGGTCAAAGTGTCGGAACACGGACTCGAACTCCTCGAGCTGGATGGGCGTCAGGTTGGTCATGTTGCGGGCCACCATCTGGTTCTCGAGGAAGGCAAGCTTCTTGGAGACGGAGGACTTGACGAGGGAGAGCTCGTAGCAGAGCTCGTCGTAACTGTAGGTTGTGAAGTCGTTTTCTTCAATGTTGGCTTCCTGGCACTTGAGGTCGACGGCCTCGATGGTCTTGAGGTAAGCGTCTAGTGGAGGCAGGTTCTCGGAGAGCTTGCGGACGTGGTGCAGCTGGTCTTCTACGTCGCCTTCGAGCCCGGAGATGGCGAGTTGCATGGTGTTGAGGGCAAGAGCGAAATCGTTGGCTTTGTCGGCAAAGGATTTTCGGAGGGCGTCTTTGATGCTGTAGGGGTGTTAGCAGCAGTTCCAGCAAAGTTTCAGCGCGAAAACCAGTAAAAAAGAAAAGATACATACTCTCTAATAGTTTCGTTGATCAACTGTCCCCGGCTCATCTCCGCCTTGGACAAGTTGCTCCATTCATCATCCAACACCTCCATTCTCAAATGTGCTGGTGGGTCATACGGCCGTAGTCGGTATGTGGCCAACTTTGTCTTGATATTTCCGAGTAATGTTGCGAGATCGCTCTTCTCCGCTACCCACTCTCTCTTCTTACCCTTCTTGTATGATGCAAACTGGAACGCCTGCGCCTTAGCATCGGCATAGGTGCCATCGAAGGTTGACCCCTTCCAAGAAACGACCTGCTCGCGGATAGCCTTGAGAAGAGCGGCCATTCTACGCTCGTAAGCGCTTTGCATTTCCCAGGCACCTTGCATATTGTTGAAGAACTTCTCCACACGACGGCCGGCATTCTCGACCTTCTCCATCTGTGAGAAGGCGTGGAACCAGTAGGCGATATAGGTCATCAACGAACGCTCATCGGGCTTGGCAACGTCGCACACATCCTCAACATCGAGCAGCTTGGGGATACCGATCTCCGCATGAGCGATATCAAAAGCCAACTGCATGTTTCCCCGATGGTCCGACTTGTCGAGGGCGTCGTAGTCGATCAGATCGGGGCGGTGGATATCGAGAAGGGCGCAGAAGGCCAGACCGTCATTCCAGCTGCCGCTGAAATCACGGACGTCCACTTCGTCATAGCACGCTGTCTTGCGCTGACACCATAATAGCAGACCCTCCTTGGCTGTCATACCTTCTTCGTTGATGTCGTTGATGGTGAAGCGCAGAATGAGTGTCCAGATGAGACCTAGAATGATCTTTCGATTTCCATCCACGATATCCTCGGCACCTATGTTTGTCATCTGAATACCTCGTGACTTGATAAAGTTTAGCGCAAGGTTGGCGTTCTCGAAACGCTGGACCCTGAGCTTCGGTTTGGCGGCATAGCGTCCAAGTGAGTCGCCAGAAAGACATTCTAGCAGATGGATAAGCATGACCTGTTGACGTGGAAAAGGGGTTAGCTGTCAGATTTGAGACGGAAAGAAACATTGGATTAGTGAGTAGGGCAAAGGAGATCCATAACGTACAGCATCGCTGAGGTCTTTTACAAGGTCTTTGACCTCGAGGCCGCGAACCTCAATCTTGGTGTTTAGCCATTTGGTGAAGGTCTTTTGCTGGACCGTAATCCATTGTTGTTGCTCTGCAAAAGCCATCTTTGTGAAGCCGGCTGGCTGCTCCGTAACTAGCTTTGGAGCGCGGGTGGGTTCGGAGGAAGCCCTCTGGAATCTGGTCGGGTTCCGGAGTCCTGGGCTTGATGTTTCCCTCTTTGTGCTGGCTAGAGCTAGGCTGATCGAGCCTGAGCGCTCTAAACGGGCGGCATGCAATTGTTTGGCGTCCCGCCGAGTACGCGTGAGCGGCTGCTCCGGGGAGGAGTCGGGCTGGTGACAGGAAGAAGATAGGGGGTAGTTGTATGCGGATGCGGTCGAGGCGCTGGTGACAACGGATGATCGACGCGAATCAAAGACCAAGTCTCCGTCTGATAGCGAACTCGAGTGATCGGACAACGAGGCAGTCGAATGAATCGAAAATGATGGAGGACGGCCGATGGCAGGACAAGACGCGGCGGGCGGCGGTCCGGGACTTGTAAGTTCGGTGTGGTCGGTATTTAGCCTGGGGACGGGGGTTGGTGTTGCTGCTGCTGGTGCTGCTGGGGGGGTTGGGGTTCCTTCAGCAGTGTGGGCGCAGGTACCGTCTCGTCTCACAGCCTCGGACGCAGGCTGGTGGTGATGGTGATGGCGATGATGAGGATGATGGAGAGGCTGCTGTTGATGTTCGGGACTAGTGGTGTGGGTGGGCAAGTCGGGGAACTTTTCCACTTGGGCTGGGCCTCCCGAGTGCGTCTCCCCCCAACTCCGGCTGCTGGTGCTGGCGCCGGTGCTGGACCTGGACCTCGCCAAGCTGGCTGGGCCGCTGGTGGAGGTCGTGCTGTTAGTGGATTGGGTGGGTGACTGGGCGGCTGCTCTAGCAGGGGCAGTTGCTGGGTCTGGCAGAGCCGCTGCCGGCTGTCCACTTTGCGCTGACGGCCCTGGCTCGCCGATCTCCACCCCCGGCATCTCCATTCTTTGCTATGACTGGCTGACTGCCGACCAGTTGGGGAACCTCTCCGGTCTCTGAGAGATTGCAGTTGTCGATAACGTTTATTTGATGGTAGCGTTGCTTGCAGTGGACCGTCAGGGGTGACAGTGCCCGTTCGATTGGATGTAGTTGCTCTTCTCAGGGAGTTAGTTTGTCTTGTTTGGCGCCTCAAACCGAGGTTAAGTTGTTCTTGTGACTTTGTGACTGATATTCCCAGGTCCGGCCGGGGTTCTCTACCTTATCCAATTCAACGACTCGAGGGAAGAATATGGGCATACCCGACCGCTTTTATAGATTCTGATTCTCCCTTACTCCATCACTTCAACATCTCGATTGTTCCCCTAGGGATCCTGTATCTTGGCGTAGATGCTCACAGTGAAACACATCGCCGTTAATGCACGTCTAACCAGACCCATGACAGCCCAGGGTTCTCTGTGGTCCATACAGTCCAGTACTGGTTTGTTTTGTTAGCTTGGTACACTTGGTACTGTACCATACTCTGTACACTAAATGAGCATCTATCCCGAATAGTCCCAAACCTCTCGAGGACAAAACAAAATGGCTAGCATGAATGATAAAAGGTATTAGTAGGATTTGATACATTATTTTGAATATCAGGAATAGCGTATCTAAGACAAGATCATGCATTAGTTAGCTATGAAGATGCATAGGAAAGTTGATACGAGGTCTCGAACTAACAAACAAACCAGTACTAAACGGGACTGTATGGCTTTTGACTGGACGATCGTGGGGTTATGGATCCTCCAGGAGGGTTACATCTTTGGGCAACACACCTCAACTCGTTCAACGACACCCCATTGTTGACTGTAAAATAACGAGTGGAAAGAAGTTGTTTCGACTTTAAGATGGACACCAAAGTCAACCACTTGTTGCTCAAATCTTGACCCGGCTATTCGGTTCTGTGCTGGATCTCCGCAGCTCCCGTCGCCCTGTGTCTCGGAGAGGATCACATCATGACAACCATGGTACTCTGCTCAACTGGATGGGCTCAATTGCCTAGATATGAGTGAGCACCATGCTACACGTCGATACTATAAACAGCGGAGATACAAGCACAACCGGAGGTAGAAGCCATGCACAATGGCTGCTCTGCATGAATATCAAGCAAGCTGTCTCACATGCAGTCGGCTTGAATCTCGACGTCTCGAACGTGCGGGTACCTGAGCCCGCCTTCAGCATCGTTCCTTGTCCAAAAGTTTGGGACTCGAGCCCGGACCGTTCATCCAATCCAGCCATGTTTCGGGCCGGATCTGGCCTCCCCAGGACTCGCAATTTGACCTGCTTTGCTGATGTAAATAGGCATCTAGTCTTACCCCTCCACACTTCCCATCCTTCGAGTCCGCTCCTTCACTCGAAACCCGCTGTCTTCTTTCGGGTTACACAATCTCTACCACCTATGCACATTCTGCAAACAGAGAGAGACCGTAGAGTGGCTTGGCTTTTGCTAATGACGTGATTTGGCGCCTTGGTAAAGTTCTGGACTGCAGCATACCTCTACGTCTTGTTCGATTCATCCAATTCGGATGAGAAGTAGTAGAGATGACATGGGGGCTCACCGTTGTTAGGCTTTACCACTGGTATCTACATGTAGTGGTTCGGTGAACTGCGCAATCTCGTGTCCGAGTTCTGGGATGGTCAGCTGGCAGCCGTTTGTTTGTCCCCAACTTTGGGTCATTTGGGCAGGAGTGAAGGCGAGTTTCCGTGGGAGATTCATTTTAAGAGTTGCAAAAACCTTCAAGGAAAGGAAGGAACGGGACGTCAGAGGTACCAAGGTACTTCTCAGTGTCAGCCATATTTTGACCAATCAACTAAGCGAGGACCCTAGATTCCCCACAGATCTCTTCCACTTGAGATGCCCCGCGGCCCACCCCCACAGCTGCGCTTTTCTGCCCACAGTGTAGAATTCACCATCGCAGTGAATGTGAAAGCGGTCTAAACTTTTTGGTCTTCAAAAGTGCTGCTCCTTCGCCCATTCTCTCCTTCCTCCTCACACAAAAGCACTGCCAAAAATCTACAAACGACGAAACACGCAAAGGGCAAAGGAAAAGATTTTGTTCACAAGTATTCAGTATTCGTTGCGCTGTTTTGCTTTCGACAATCCTCAGTGCATCAGTACCATCAGTTGCAGTCGCTGTTTGATCCCTGCGACCCCCACTGTCTGTACCTTTCTCCGCTGTGAATGGACTGACCAAAAACGAATCCCTGTCTGGCTCAGTTTTATTTCACAACGTCTAGCATCCATCAAGCAATCATCAACATACCCTTCAGCATCTCCCTCCATAGCTTGACACACCAACATCGCACCACAACAAAAATCAAGCATCTTGGCTAGCCTTCACACACTCAGTTATCGTCGGTTTCATATCTTGTAACGATATCTGCCAGCATCGTCACGCGCCATACTTGTCGAAATAACCTTATCCTAGCTCATCTTCAACATGGCTCAGCGCCAGGGCACTCATGTGCCTGCTGTGCGTGCTGCTTCAGAGAAGAATCTCGGCATCACGCAACGCTCAGCTTCGATTAACTTCTCCTGGACTGGTGACATCAGAAAGCGGTAAGTTCTTCATCCAAGCTAATCACTTTGACTTGATGTGCAGCTAATTCTGACTATATATACAGCTATACCGACTTCCTTGTTTATGAAATCCGCAAGGATGGCACAACCGTTCACCTCCGCGAGTATGAGGAGCAGCAGCCATCGGTACCCAAGGTTTGTTGTTACATGCCATAGGTAATATTCGTCGAGTCCTTATGTACTAACTCCATACATAGCCTGCACCAGCCAAACCTACACCAGACACTGTCGCTCCTTCCACTGAGCCCGGAATCGAAATCGAGCCTGTTTCCGATGAAGACAGGAAAAGGCTGGTCGACTTGATTGGTGAGTCGGCCACTGAGAAGCTGATCAAGCTCGATGAAGCTGTTCAGGCGAAGCAGACCATTTCCGCTGGAGAGCGGACTGTGGTTTTCGACCCCATCACCGATCGCGCCCAGCGCGCTAGCCTTCACCAAGAGATCCGCCGTATCTTCGACAATCGCATCGAGACACTCGCCAATAACACTGGCGTCATCACCGCTACCCCTTCAAAGTGGTCAAAGAACAACCGGGTGGGTGGACATGGGCCCCGCGCCAATAACAGCAACAACAGCCGCTCACGGGATCAGAGCAAGAGCTTTACTCAGCTGGGCGGCGAGTATCTCCACTTCACCATGTACAAGGAGAACAAGGATACCATGGACGCAGTGAACACCATTGCCCGTCTACTCAAGGTGAAGGCCACCAACTTTGGCTTCGCTGGAACCAAGGATCGTCGCGCTGGTACAGTTCAACGCATCAGCGTACACCGCCAGCGAGCCTCGAACTTGATTTGGCTCAACACACGCCTGCCCAACATTAAGGTTGGTGATTTCTCTCATTCCAAGGAGCCTCTCCAGTTGGGTCAGCACGGCGGCAACGAGTTCGTAATCACGCTCAAGAATTGCAAACCGCTCGGAGGCGCGGGATGCTCTGTCGACCAGCGCGTCAGGAAGTTGCGAGAAGCAGTTGAGTTTGGTCTGGCCTACCTCCAGCGCCATGGCTACATCAACTATTACGGCCTCCAACGTTTCGGTACCTATGCGATCGGTACCCACCTCCTGGGCATGAAGGTGCTAAAGGAGGATTACGAGGGTGTGCTTGACGACATCCTCCATGTCGAGGACCACTTCTTGCATGAGGCGTTCGACCTTGAAGAGCAAGAACCCGCCCACACCAACGACTTCCACAATAGCCGCGATGATTACAATCGTGCGAAGGCCATCACCATCTGGAAGACTACCCGGAACGCCGAGAAGGCATTGGCCATCCTTCCGAAGCGGTTCAGCTCGGAGGCCGCCATCATCCGCCATCTTGGCAAGAACTCGAAGGATTTCATGGGCGCCCTTCTGAGCATTACTCGTGGTATGCGCATGATGTACATCCACGCCTATCAATCCTACGTCTGGAATCACATGGCCAGCAAGCGATGGGCCATGTACGGGCCTACAGTCGTCGAAGGGGATCTGGTATTGGTCAGCAATGACCAGTCGCCTGCTGATGCCGATTCCGAGGACAACGAAAACTTTTACGCTCAAGCCCGTGCCCTCACACAAGAAGACATCGCAAGCGGAAAATACACCATTTTCGACGTTGTCCTACCTACACCTGGCTACGACGTGATCTACCCGCGGAACGAGATTGGCAAGGCATATGTTGACTTCATGAAGAAGACAGAAAACGGTGGCTTGGATCCGTACGACATGCGTCGCCGCCAAAAGGAGTTCAGCCTTAGCGGCAACTATCGTCATCTGTTGGGCCGGTTTATCGGCGAACCCCAATACGCTATCCGCGTCTACAACGATGACACAGAACAGATGTATCCTACGGACCTGGACTTCTGCAATGCGGCCAATGCAAAGAAGAAGGCCGCCACGGCCAAGGCCCGCACATCTCCGCCTCTCCTTGCGAATTGGGCGCACTTCACCAACAACACTGCCCAGTATGACCAGGCAATTACCAATGAACGTCGCCGCAAGGCCTCCCAGTCACCGGAGTCTGATAGAGTGGTCGTAGCCAGAGAAACTTGGATCCAGACCGGGCTTGACGGCAGTGACAAGCGCGTTAAGATCGCGCGTCACACGGAGGAGTATGAGACCAAGGTGCCTGTCGAGCAAATCAATGAGAAGGTTACCGATAATGCTACCAATGGCATCATCTCCTCCAGCGCCACCCAGACGCCGACGCTGGCCAAGGGATTATCGGATCTCTATTACGAGTCGACCGCTCAACAAACGGTCGTCAAATCAGAGGATGGCACCATTAAGCAGGAGCAAGACGTCATGCTGACTGAAGAGTCCACGGCTTCCAAGGCTGATACTATGGAGGTCGATGCTGTTACCCACGAGGCTACTCCCCAAATCAACCAGTCCGCGCTCGCTGCAACCGAAAACTCGATGGTCATCCACAACGGCGAAAAGGACGGTGAAACCGACACCAAGGAGACGGCAAATCTGATTGTCCCTGTTCTTCATTCCCCCTCGGAGAACCCTCTTGCTTCTGTCGACAATTCAGAGGTTATTCGTAGTAGCCCTGATGCCAGCAAGCTTGCTGTTATTCTCAAGTTCCAGCTGAGAAGCAGCAACTATGCAACTGTTGTTCTCCGTGAGCTCATGGGCACCTTGGAGGAGGAGGACGCCGCTGACGACGTCTCCTTTGATGGAAACTAGAGATCTCAATAGGATTTTACCCAAAACTACGACACTGCGCCCTAGCACTGTCTTGCTTCAACTTAACCTTTCAATGGTCGGCACTTCTCAACATGGTTCGATATGCGGTCCATCGATGCACAAGGACGACCGCATTCTACAAGTAATCGACATCAAGCCATGGAGCACCACCGCCTTGAGACGGTATCACACAATCGGCAACAATATCCCCTGCAGTGAGATTTTAGACATGTACATCAGCATACCTCGCCGCAGCAACTATGGCTTCTTTTCGGAGATTCTGCCCAGTTATTCCACTTCACCAGCAAAGCGCGTGGTAGTCTGCCACCAACGATCGACTGCCAGTATTCGATGGGATACGGATACAACGCTTCCACTACACCACGATGTTTGCTCTCCCCTTCAATAAAGGCACAAATTCACTGTTATACTACGTGCTTGACTTGCAAGTACAACTTCATAAGATCAGTCACCCAATCGATGCCGCAATTCACTCTTTCTCTCATATGCTTGCAGGATGTACAACAGGCTATGGACACACAATTGTCAAGTTTGGCCAAAAGAGAGAGAGGATAGATGCTCGACAGGTGCATTGCCCTGGAAAGCCAGGGTCGAGTCTCGACCTACATGGTCTTCATGTAATTTGTTCCTATTTTTGTATCCATGTTCACATCTCGTTGGACATATTCAACTTTGCTTCTGTATCTCTCGGTCATCATAGTGGCCAGTTCTCTAGGATGGAGGCATAAGAATTTGCTTACAGGCATCTGGTTTAGCATTTTCGGCGCTCGGGTACACGGTTCGACTTAGGTATGGACGGTTGTCAAAAGTTTAGGAATCATTTGCATTTCCCTGTCGCTTTCATAGACCTTGAGATACCTACGGCAGATGTTTAGCATAACGAAGGTAGTACCACCAGTGTGTGGATTTAAGGAAACGAACAGTCATAAGATTCAGAAATCGTGAAAGAATGCATTGCTTGATTGTGATCAAAATGTTTCTTAGTAGAGAGTGAGTATGACACGACTATGAAAGTTTTGCACATCCAATCACCATCGATGTTGCATGTATAGAATCATGAAATATTAAGGTTCCTGACATTGACGGGGTAAAAAAAAAAAGAAGAAAAAAAAACGGGCGATTTGCGAATTGTGTGTCGTGGCACCGAAACTGGCAACCCCAACACTGACACTCATCAATTTTGAGATCATCTTGTACAAGCGTGAAGACCCCTCGGGTAGCATCATCTTCCCATGGGGGGATTCGATCCCGTAATCGTGGAAGAAATTCAAAAGAATTACTGTCGTTGATTGAAAGACGAGATCTTTGTGGACATGCAACAATGATTGTCTCGCTTTTGGGGTCTCGGCAAGCATCCCCAAACAAAAAGTCTTGCTTGACACTCGTCGGTTTCAATCCTTTGTTGTCTCCTATACTTAATCAGAGCTATCTTTTGGATATACGAAAAGTTCAAATTACCTGAGAGGGATTCCGTGCAGTCTTTACTTCTCCCAAGGGCTTTCCGTGGTCCTATGTGTCAAAGGTCAAAGAGAATGGTTGAAAAAAGACTTTTCTTATTGCTTTAAAGAAGGAAAAACAAGACTGGAAGGATTGGCGTCGTACTAGTTTACACGTGGCTGGGACGATCCGGACTGATCCCCCGAAGTGATCAGATCCTTTCGTATAGATACTTCGTATAGCTACCTGCATATACGAAATATCTGACAGCAAACAGTCGCGATTGAATAGCGTTAGTCAAACAGCAACAACATGGCCCCAGAACGAATACTCCCCTCTCACGCCCCCAACTTCAACAACAGCCTTCAACGGCAAGACCCATCAAGGAAATATTTCTCCATGAACTATGGAAAGCTTTCTAGAGGCCCCTCTGAAGGATTGGAGGATCGGGAGTGCTTTCGATGAACACCATCCAAATGCAAAGCTCCGTCACCATGCAGTTCCCGGAGGCGCTTTTGAACAATGGCGTCCCATCCACTTATTGGGAGAGGGTACATTCGGAGAGGTCTATAAGGAAAAGTGTGAACACGGGTTTTTTCCAGGTAAACTGCGTGCCGTCAAAAGAATCAGCAAAGAGCAAGCCGGCTTTCTCAAGTCATCGCAGCGGGAGCTCCAAGCTCTCGCTACTTTCTCCAAGAAGAACGATCCCAGGGTGAGTGGTTCTTCCTATCTGAACATAGCGCCTACCGTTTGAACGGGAGCAAAAAGCAACAATTACTGACCAAGTGATGCGATTGCACCTCTAATCATGGGCAGTATCAACAACACTTTGTCCAATTCCTCGGCTGGTTCGAAGACCTTAGTAATCTGTACATTGCGATGGAGTTCACGCCGTACGGCGACCTCCAGCAATATATAGATGACAACGCGCCTTTCCCTGAAACCGAAGGATCTTTAATTGCGAAACAGGTCGCGATCGGATTGCGTTACATGCATCAAACAGGCTTCCTCCACAGAGATCTCAAGCCCTTGGTATGCCTGCATATCACCCACCACCCTCACAATATGTTACAAAAGGGTTTCCAGCCATATTTACACTGCTCGGATCTAATACCGCTGTGAATTTCAAGAATATCCTCATTGATACGCCAGGCCCTGGATGGAAGGTCAAGCTCGCAGACTTTGGCATTGCCAGAAACATCGCCGGCCCTACATTGTACACCCACTATATTGGTACGTATGGCTATATCGCTCCCGAGCTATTCGAATCATCGGATGCGTATACGGCGGCGGTCGACATCTGGGCACTAGGAGCCATCGTATTTTGCATGTGTACCGGCTCCCCGCCCTTTGAGCAACCACAATACCTTCTCCAGTACCGTGCCGGTATACGATGCTTCCCTTCCCAGGTTTTGGGTCTTTCAACCGGGTTTTGCATCGACTTCATCATGGGAACTATGCATGCGAACTCGCGGCAAAGAATGGACATGGACGAGATCATGGATCACGAGTGGCTCTCCATGGAGAGAACGGTTATGAATATGAAGCAACCCGTAAGTTATTCTCCGCCCCCCAAAGATTCTTAATGGGTGAAACCTCCCGTTTCTAAGCTGGCGCAGGTTCACGAAGCACAGGTATGTCACTCCGCTCGTTTGACCCTTGGGACCTCCAACAAGAAGCAGTGGCTCTCGACAACCCTACATCAGGGAAGAGGTTGGAATTTATCGATCCTACACTGACTTGCCTCGGATGTGAATTATCCTTCCCCTACCGAGAATATCTCTTCTACCATCTCGCCAAAAACCCCAATCACTATCGAGATCTCATGCCCGGAGAGCATCCGATTAATGAAGACCTTTCTGAACCCTTTGAATTGAAAGCTTTCTATGGCCGCCAACAAGAGAGGTTCAAGAGGTCTTGCATGTTCTGTGACGACGACTTTGACAGCCGCGATGCGCTATTCGAGCACCTTGAAGAATATGGGCACGCTATGGACAGAGAAACGCGCCGGCGCGCACCCGGGTATAAGCGGCCAGAGATCTGCAAGAAGCGGGATAGAAGCGAACATCCTCACAGAAAAGCGAAGAAGACGATAGCAAAGCTGGAGAAAGAAAGGGAGGAGTATCGTCTTGTCTTGCAAGAGCAGCGGCGGCAGCGGCTTGCTACTGAACTGAGGCGGAAAAAGGAGGAGGAGGAGGAGGAAGAAGAACAATTGCAGAAGCTGAAGCGCGAGGAAGAGCTAAGGCGAGAGCAGGAAAAAATCATGAAACATCAGGAGCAGCAAAAACGGCAGCGAGAGTTGGACAACGCGGAGATGGAGGCGAAACAGCGCCAGGAGGCACAGCAGCGACAGGCCAACAAGCGAATTAAGACGAACGCTAGTGGTTTTGTTTGCAGGGTGTGCGCCGGTAGCTTCGAGACTCGTAACCAGCTGTTTAGCCATATCAAAAGGGCTAAGCACTGGGTACCAATGGGTTGATTCTTGGAACAAGTAGTACTTAGATGGTGCTTACCTACATACTTTCTGAAAGGGGATCAAGAGAGCTCGAGTGGAATACACTGTATAGATGAAGCTCGTGCGAAGATATGTTGAAGCATATACATAAAGGAAGGCGATTTGTGAGATACCGCCGACGTGTAAGTGGCAAACCCATCTGGAGTTTTGAAGACTGCCTTGTGCATATTTGACTTGTTTTGTTTGTTCTTGAGAGATAGCGTGACGAGAGGGACTGTTTACCTCAAGCGGAATACCGTACCTCTTTGAGCGCCTCCCCCTTTCTTCTCCTTGTTGCCAGGGATAAAGCCAATATTGCTCTTCATCTCCACTTCCAGGGCGGGACAGCAGCATCGTCCCATGCTTAGCATGAGTCAAGACATGGAAAGTACGGGAGGTCTGGTATCAGTTTATAACGAGGTGTTGACGAGGGATCGATCATAACCAAGTTGGTAGTTGGGCGCCTCCGTCTTGAGATTATGAAGCTTTTGATGTTCCAGAATATACTTACTTATAGGGCTGACTGAGTGTTACACTTCAGCTAAATGCTCGACCGGCTGAAGCACTTTGAGACGCAGGAACGAGAGGACAGATCCCTACATTAGGTACTCCGGAGCTAGCACCGGTGGTACCTACCTGGCTTCCCCAGATGCGATGCTGTGCTAGATGAACTACTTCGTTAAATGCAAAGGCGTGTGTGTAGGTCTGCGTGGAGGGAGTAACGATCAATACAGGTACGATGTGTATATATTAGGGGTAATAATCCCGGGTAAGCTCCCTCATTACCCTCAATTGGTACCCACCAACCCCTACGTCCTGGCTCCAAGCTCCTACCTACACTAGTTGCCAGATGGCTTCAACTTGCCTCCTCTTCAACACACCAGCCGTTCGTTGAAGGAGAGCTCTGGTCGTAGGTACGCTCGGGGGTGGTGCTTAGGTAGCGAAGGGGGTGTGTTTACCAACTTATTCACCTCTCCAGCTCTACACTACCTGTGCAACTGAACCTAGCCAGGTACTCCTTACGATAGATTCTCAACCAATCAATATCAAGCCGGAACCAAACCCCAAAGGGGTAATAAGTAAACAAATATGTATGAGGCCTACACTCGGGGCTGCCCTTGCTAGTATCTTATTTCCAGCAGAACATAGCTGCCTCCTGTGGTCCAGCCGAACGAACGCTACCGAACCCAGCAGCCTGGTAAGAACCCACCAAGTTAGCCCCAATCCCAGCCCCAGTCCCAGTCCCAGGGACAACGTCCGTAACGTTGTCTTGTACACTACACTACACTTACATACTGCAGTTTACGCAGGGTCGTCGTCGTATAGAGAACCAACCGTTCGGGAAGAGCGGATGCACCACCGTGGCTGAGAACCGCTCGCTGTATGTAGTATAGTGTACAAGGGATGTCACAGCACCAGAGACACAAGGACCCTTAACGAACCCTTGACAAAACGGCGCAGCGGCGTCTCTTTTTCTAGAAGGTACATACGTCGAGGGAACGGCTAGGGCGGCCCAGGAGTGGAATGTAGCGAGGTAAACCGAATCTAGGGTTGGGACTGGCGTTTGGTTGAAGTGGGCGCGCATAGGAAGGGGCGTGTGTCAATATGGCGTTCGTTATACATACGGCGTCACTCAGGAAAGGGAAGTTTGGGGGCTAGGACTAGGGCCGGCTGGGTGGCTGGCACGGGTTTGGCGCGCAATGGCACAGCTTCTTGGTTCTTGTTGTGAGCTTGTGTGGCACTCGAGCAGTGGTAGGTCCGTAGACGCGGAGAGGACACGGGAAGGTGTGTCTATTGTGCCGTCGGTGTTGTCCCCAATGGCTGCTCTGCTATGCCTCTTGACGACAGCCGATAGACGAACTTCCTACCCTTTGTGTAATGGATGTTTAGTTTGTGGGGAACCTTGAATTTGCCTGTGTCCGCGCTTATCTTTCTCCTCCTCACTGAGTTGCACAGAAATTAGTCATTGTGAGAAATCATGCTCCCCACGAAGCTCATCGGCTAGCAGGATTGAGTGATCTTTAATGGCGGTTCGATGAGACGTAAAAACAGGAATCATCCAGGTCACAAGATGAGTAAATATCCCGTGGTCTCCCGCAAACTCGCGGAATATCTTGGATTTCACTATCCGTGCTCGCCCGGACTCGGAACGGAAGACGGGATGTCTAGGCATCCAAACACCAATGAGCTCTGCAAAGCGCGGTTTTAGGGGTCATGGAGTGTTTTTAACCCGACAGGCTGGGGAAACACTCAGTTCAAGGATGACGAAGCAAATGGGTGCGCGTGGTGGTTGGTAGTACAGCCGCGGCAGGTGTCTGGGGTTGTCAAGTAATCAACAATTCCATATTCGGCGTTCGGGGTTACAGACAATCGGAGACGGCATGAAAAAGGGCGCCGAGCCATTCCAAGGCGTCTTCTTCCTGCTCAGCTTCCATCCGTTTCGGACAAGGCAGCAATATTTGTCAAAGGTACATATGCTGAGTGCTGACATGGGGATTGGCTGACATGCGAGGAGCTTCTTGTGCTCGGCTGTAACCCACCGAGTTCGTCACCACCCTTGTCTTCGACTCATCCTAAATCCGTGTCCCCACGGAAGCTGGGGGGACATTGACACATGGCGGGACATCGAGGTTCTCGACGATGCTTGGCTCCTGGGTTTCGTGGTATCGGTGACGATTGACAAATACAGGATTGGAAAGATAATGCTGATTTATTAGTGAATAGTCCTACCCTCGGACGATCTGCGTATAGGACCAAACACCATAGTGATATTTGTCACTTGTCAAGTCTTCATGACATGTTGATGCGTATGTATGGGAAATGACCATTGCCGTCCCACTCCGCAAACCCTGTGCCTCCCACTCCCACATCCGTTCGGTACTTGCAAAAGCACGTCAACGCTTTTCAAATGCGCTGGCAGTTGCAGTTGCACAGCCCCGAGTTTTGTCAGCGGCAACGTCGAGTTTGGTTGGACAGCATCGCATCATCTCGCCGACTGACCAAACCAACGGGCCCAGCGATTGCGGGATGCGATTTGGCGATTTTCTAGCAGCGACTCTGATACAACGCCGACGAATGACGCATCGGGCAAGCCCTTTTTGAGGGGTCTCTGTAGAGGGGTGTGGTTACGCAGGCTCACAGGTTAACGTTGCGTGCAGTGAACCTCGAACGGAAAGTTAGGTAAGCTTCAGGCTCTTGGCTTCCTAGACTTCCCCTATTTTGTTTCTCTTGGTTGTACAACGAGTAGCAGATCCGTAGTGACTATCGTCAAGCTTACGGATACAGCCTTCGCAGCGGTCAAGCCATGGCATCGTGTTTTGTGTTATTGGACCGTTCACTCGTCCGTTGTTGGCCTGCTAAGCCACGGTTGCCCGTATCGCCGGCTTTGAGCGGAGCTTGGTTGGTAGAAGACTGTTGTACTTAGCCTGGGGCCGGGACACCGTTAAGTCCTGGAGAATGAGAATGAGTTCATGGGAAAAACATAATGATGTGAGATGATCTCCATGGGGCTGAGACTTCCCTCCGCACTCCGCAGCGAGTGAGAGGGGATGGAAGTGAGGGTTCCGATCCCTCCTTCCGTCTCCGACTTTATCGCTCTTTCCTTCTCAGCCCTATGAGTGGGGTCCAAGTAAATCGTCCAATGGCAGAGCTCACAGTGATCTGTTCAGGCTCCAGCTTGGCCCGCGCTTGCCAAAGCTCCGCCAAATGCTTGCTGCGCACTGGCCACCTATTGCGCAAAGAGGAGCAATTTTGCCTTGTGGCAGGCACAGAGCGGGGAGTTGTGCAAGGTTTCGCGCCAGGCCTGTACCCGCCCACTCCCGTCGCTTCCACACTCACGGGTTGAAAGCCGAGGCGATCCTTTCGCTCCCCACACAATTCGGTTTCGAGGGAAAGAGAAGAAGAGAAAAAAATAAGCCAGATGAACGGCGGTTTCTTTTCGTGCGACTCATCGGCGCCCCGTTGTTGATCACGGCAGCATCCATTCCTTCCGCGGTGTCCACTCACTCACGAGTCCCGGTAACGACTCAACACTCCCCTCACCCCTCACCCCCGTGGACACCAGCAGAGGTGGTATGTACCGATGTAGTTTACACACTGCGACTGGCAGTCAGCATGGGTTTCGGCGTTACGATCGCGGCCCCGAACTCTAATTTCCAGGCTGCTTTTCCTCCCCCGCCGCCGATGCTCGTCGCCCACACAACGGAACCGGCGATACAAATGTGTACTAGCCTGTGATCGATATATTGTGTGTGTTTCGCATGATGGCATCCTCTTGTCTCTGTGGCAGGGCGCCTCATGCAGCGAAGGATTCAAGCTGCTTGCTTCGAGATGGACTTCCTTCACCGCCTGCGGATAGGCACAACGGCAACTGACATGACAACCAAGGCTTGTCCTGGCTACACCTCAGCAACAACAAGTCATGAAACTGTGCTGCTAGCTGCCAAATATTTGCTGGTGGCAGTGTCTGGAATACGGAGCCAATGGATGGTTGGTTCAAAAAAGGAAATGGGAAGCGTGTACGAAAGTTAAAACCAACATATTCCTTCGTGTGTGCACAGAGTTGATTGCTGGAGATTATACAACGTCCAAGGCGCCAAGTTGGACTTGGCCCTATGGTGTTAACTGGGGTTTCGGTCAGCAGACCAACAACGCATTTTGTTTTCTTTGCTGGCCGATCGATGTGTATGTCCTTGTCTACGCCGCGGGAGTATGAACGAGGCTGCTGCAGTGTCTCTATTCGCAACGGCTTAAAGACCCCTCAATGTTGTTTCATGACGTGGAGCTGTTAGTGTCCGGTGCTTGCGACAGCTTTGATACGGCTTGGCTTGTTGGTGTTCTTGGTGTTGTTGGCCGCTTGCCTGGCCGCTGGCCCGCCTCGAGCTCCGCCCAGGGCCTGTCCAACCTCATCGTCATCTCCTTACATGATGAGGTGTGCCCGTAGTCAGTCGCCCTGAACAACATCATTCTTTTGCTCGGTAGCCGCACAAACTAGTGTCGCAGGTTCCTGCAAGAACGGGTGGAGGAGGTAAAGAAAAACCCACAGCCTAGAAGGATTCAAAAGTGGGAATTGGGTACCTGCAAGAAATTTTTTTTTAAATTTTTTTCCCATGGGTTTTTCGTAGGTGGATGGATCTGTTGGGATACCCTGTCGATAATTGTGTTGAATTCGGGAAGTCGAGGGAATACACCGGAAAGCAAAGCTTGGTGCTGTATGGTAGATAAGATAACGCAGTGAGAACGCCGGCGTCGCGAAAGAAGCCGATTTACAAAAAATGAGATGCGTCATGGGATTATCTCGGTGTTTCCAAACCGTCGCTGTCAAAAGAAATTTTCAGCTTGAGCGGGATATAGCACGTGTGAATATCCAGGCCAGCGGGTTTTGTATGTATTGCTTAAAAATCAGATTGAATGCGTCAACCGGTTCAAAGATTGTGATATTGCAGAGCGGCTTCTCTGATGCCTGCGAAAAAAAAGAACCCGACAGACGTCGCTGAGAAATCCCTGGAAGGCATCCACGATAGACTAGTGGTGTACTGCTACATAAGCAAATGTACCACTCAGATCGGGACGGTGATTACAAACCACCTTAACTCCGTCGGTTCCATTCACAACCATTGCGACAAAGGGACGCGGGGTTTAGATTTGATTCTTGAAACGGTAACAAGGCCTAACCACCAAAATGATACCAGTTCGTTTCAACAAATGTACGTGATGAAGCTTGCAACGTCGGGGCGCACATGATTGACAGGAGCCAAACCGGCAGCGTGCCCGAGCGGTGGAGTTTAAGGTTTGCAACGAAAAAGTTGCGGCCAGACAAAAGATGGGCAGGGATGAGAGACGAGCCAAAAACCGAGGCGGCCGAGCCCCCGTCCTCACTCCAAGCAGAAAGTCCAGAGCTCGGATCGTGAAATGTGCGCTTCACCGCCGCCGCCGATGGACAAAAGTCTCAGGTGTCTGGGCTGGCTGTTGGAAAGGGCGGCGCCAGGGCGTGTTCAAAAAGCCGACCACCTCCAAATGCAATACAACAGGGGGGTGTACGTAAGGTAGTACCAGCGGTACGTATCTTTCACAGGTACGTACACAATCTCCAAAAGTCGGCTTGACGGCTTCTCGGTTTTCGTCAGCTGCTGCTGCGGATGGACGCATCACCCTTGTGCTGATGACCTTGCGGTGTCCTGGAGTGTCTCTGACCGGAGAAAGCACCCCAACGAAGGGTCAGACTGAAGGTTTACAAAAGGAAGCACATCCCCAGGATCTATCGTCGGGCTTCGCGCTGGCTCTTCTGTTTTGCTATCATCAAGATCTTTTGAACTTGAAATTATCGTGTGAAAGTTTTGAGCACCCAGTGACCTTCGAAAGCCGTCCAAAGCCACGCCCGATTCCACTTTCGCAATCACGGATTCCACTCTCAGGCCCCATCCTCACAGTACCCGTCTTTTCACTATCCACTCACACGCTGAACGAGACTCGTCGCGACTGCTGCCGTCTGTTTTGGAGTGCATGGTTCTTGCAGACCTGATAACGGTACCAACGCCAGCGACAGCGAACAACAACGGACTTGGCTTGCTGTATCAAGACACACCCCTCACCCCTGGTCCTGGTCCGCCTGCCTGAACGCCGCCCACGCCCACCCGCACGCCCTTTACACTCACACCTCACGCCCTCAGTACCTGACGGGCCCGCAATCGGCTTGACCCCTGTCTTGAGTCACTCAAACCAAGAACCGAGACGCGAAAACGCACCAGGCCCCAACCCAAATATTAGTATTAGAGAAAAGCTGCCCCCGATCCTGCCCTCCGAGGAGAGAGAAAAAAAAAGAACCATGTCTTCCACCACCACCACTCACACCGCAACCACAACATCACCACCACCATCGAGGCCACAACCAGTAGGCACTCTCTCTACCAGTGCATCGACATATCCTACCACATCCACTATTAGTACTCTGCATACTTCATTCATCAAGCCCAAGAAGATGTCCATCACACAAACATACTATCTTGCCCACAAGGCAAGGGCAAAGCTTTCTTCGGAAGCTGCCCGCCCCGATCACAACCTCCGCCTCCTGGTCGGACACGCCAACCTTCTCGACTCATTGATGGTCGAGCTCGCCGATGCCGAAAGGGAACAAGAATCATGGTTCAACCAATCCGTCCGCGGCGCCTCCAACAGCCGCAGCGAAGAACGTCACATCCAATGGGCCGACACGGTGGTCCGGGAGCCCGAGCACGACTGGCAAGCCGAGGATGCCGAGTACAGCGACTCGGATTCCGATTCGGACAGCGATCTGAGCGAGGACGACGAGGAGGACTGTGACGAGGATGAGGACGTCGAGATGGCCGATGCCGTCCCCCTCAGGAGGATACCCTCACACAGCAGCGGCAGCCTTCATCGGTACTCGATGCAAGCACCGCTGCACCAATTCTACAACTACGACCAAGACATGGAGGAGGATGAGGAGGACGACGACGAGGACTACACCCACCTCGCCCTGCAGAGGAGTCCTTCGCACTCTGCGTCGCCACCAGAACTCGATCTCGACTCGGACTCTTCAGAAGACGAGCACATGCCACCATCGCCGCCCACCACCATCCTCTCCACATTCTCATCAACGTCGCCCGAAAAGCAAGCGGGAGAGCAACCAGGAGACGACGAGGAAGATCAACCAGAACAAGACAAGGATGCCTTTTACACCCACAACCAGGGCTACTACCTACCAAGCCGTGGTCCGACACTTGTGTCGCCGATAGGGATGTACTAAAGACTTCCCCATCACACACACGCATACACTTTTCCTTGTTCTACAATGATTCCTCATTATCTTGCATAGCACTCTTCTGCATTGGGCAACGGCGTTTTACATTTTTGCATTTTGTATTTTTACGATGATACCACATTTCACTTGGCATGCATCGGGGCAATTGGGAAGATTGAATCGGATTGGAATAGGATTGGGACTACGGGAGTTTCTACCATCATCAAGCGAACAGCGTTTTTTTCCCACATATCATCATGGACCAGACTTATATGTTTGCTCTTTTTCTCTACTCTCTCTCGAAATCACTACTCATAATGGTCTGTGTTTCTATGGTCACGGAATTGGAAATGGAGTATTGGGAGACACACAAACGAGAACATACAAACAGTTTGTAGGGCAAATGGCAATTGGAGCTTTGGGCATTTCACTACACTTTGGAACTTGTATCGCTATCGCACAATTGCTGTATTGGACTGTACCCGCTCCCATCACCACGGCAGTGTGGTGTTTTTGGTTGAGTGGGGAATTCAGGGTCTTCTTGGGTCGGATGGGGAAGCCATGATCTCATAGCTACCGGCACTTCGCAGCTCAATTCCGACTTGTCTCGGAGCAAATAACAGCGAACCGTTTTTCTTCGGAAAACCAAGTGTGCATTCATTCCAATCGTGCCAAATCTATGTCATGGTGATGATCAGTGATTCAATGATCAATAGGACCAGGAAATGATTCACATGTTACTATTTGCGATAATTGCAAAACGGAGCAAGATGATTGATTTTCGGGAGATCCGATGGGGACAAAGAGTCACTCAGTTACAAGCCGATCCCGATCGGTGTAACGGTTTGGGAAATCGGAGTTTGTAGCGGTCGGTACGCTAAGGTGCGTGGCTTGCAATCGCCGAAATTAATCATCTTTCATCATTCTCGTCAGAATTCAATCAATATCCAACTTTAGCTACACAAAGAAAAACATTTGCGACAATCATCTTTGTTCCTGGGTGTGCGTCCGTGTAGTGTAGTAAATCAGTCGCCAAACAGAGTCTTACCTTTTTATGCATCGATGTATGTCAACTTGCTTGTACTGTGAATGAACCCTTCAGTCCCTACCGTTGACTTTTTAGTTTCCGATTCTTCCTGTTCGTCCTACCTATATCCCCAAAAAGTCCCCGTCATGTGTCTGGAAATTTCATCTCTATTCGATGTAGTGTGTGCAGTCTACCTAGTCTAGGGGTCCAGTTGGTTCCTGCTTATCGATGACAAGCGACGGAGGAGTGTAAGTGTGCTTATTGGGTGGGCAGCCAACCTACCTACCTGACCGGTTATTCAACGGGTAATGGAAAGAAACATACCTACCCAAAATATGGGGAGGGGGGAGAAAGAAGGAAGCGGAGGAGGAGGACCCCTAGAACGAAGGAATGGATGGATGGATGGATGGATGACCTCAATTGACATCACCACTTTTTCTTTCCTCCTGGTTCCTGTATCGGGATATACTTACACTACACACTACACAGTACGCGATAGCGAAACCTTGCGAAACCTACCTTTGCCGATAAACGCGATGGGGGAACGGTGCCGTGGCGGGTAGATCGAGACGACACGCCCCGGCCCCCATCGGCGATAATTTCTTACGACTTTCCGACTTTTTTTCTGACTTGACATTTGTCATTCATTTAGTTGTCGTACACTATAGACTTTCTCTTGGCCTTTTTGCTTGGTTTACTTGGGACTGCTGCTGGGCAGCTCTGGGCAGCTCTGGGCTGTTGTCATATGCTCCTCCTTTCCATCCACTTTACTATGCAGAGGTAGTATCAAATTCCCTGTCTTCGTAGGCTTCGCTTGACGCGCGCCCGGGGGCTTCGCCTCTTTTTTCAGTCCCTAAAAAGTCCCCACAACCATTCAGCTTGCCGCCGCTTCGTCGGTTCGGGATGGCATGGAGCGAGGGCAGGCGGGTGCAGGCCTTATCAAGAAAGGGTCTATCTAAGGTCGCGGAGTTGTGTTCCTGTGACACTCAGGTCCTCCCAGTCCGTTAGGCTCCGCGACCGCGACCCCGAGTTTCACGATGCATCCTACATACATATACCCTACCGGCAATAACGAAAACTCAAATTGTTAGGGTACAGTAGTACATAGTATACTTGGTATGTACTACAAAATAGGCGGAGAAAGTAACCGGTGCCCTTTTGTGCCAGTCGTTGCGTGTCAGCCTCATCCAGTAAGTAGTGTAAACAAACAAGAAAGTGACAAGAAAAACTAAGCCGAAGATCAATTGCGTAACCAAGTTTATGGTAGTGGCTGGCACTGCAGTGTTGCACTTGATTTTTGTGCAGTGTTCGTTGTCCTCTTGTTTTTTTTTCTGTTGTCGGTTCGTCAAAACAAAAACAAAATATGCTGAAGCACCGATGCCTGACTGCGACGGAGATATAACATGTAGAGGTATGTAAAGTGGAAGGTAGTTGTGCATTACATGCCCAACTGTAGTGTACGGAAGCTGTCAAGTTTGTCATGTGCAGAAAGCTGCTGTGCTGTGTGACGGTTTATGTGATACATGCCTCAGCATTGGTACAGTCTATCTAATGCTGGTTTGATTGTTAGCTCGAGACCTCTGGGCCAATTTCCTCAAGGTGTTTTCAAGCTGTGAGTATGCTATTTCCAAATGAAAACACACGGCAGTGGATCTGTTGATGCCTTTTGGATCTATGCCTAGCTATTCATTCAGTGTCTAAAAGGTTGCGGGGAGTTCGGAAGACATCTGGTCTAGTATACTAGAACCGAGAACCTGGGTACCCAATTAACGAACATGTACACTAGGTATGCGACAGGTCCGAAAATCGGTCATTTTTTTTGATTTTTTTTGAAGAAAAATGAAATAAAATAAATCTGTCAACCACACAAAGTTCGAGGTTGAAGTTGGAGTAAGCAAATGTCGCGATTACGATAAGAAGGATGCCTGAAAGGTCTTTGTAATCGCGGCAGCATTGAGACATTCTTGGCCATCCAGGCAGCGAAGCGACTGGTAAAAGTGATGAGAAAGCGAGTGCAGCGTGTGTGTGTGTGACTTACACGTGTACCTCCCGGAGTTGTACTTCGCTTCTTTTCTTGAATCAAGATGATTCACATTCCCAACTTCGGCCGGTTGATAGGTCGGTGTCGGTTCCGAGGCACCGAAGAAAGGACGGTAACCACAAGTAGGTAACTATCGCGAGTTTTTCGGTTCGCGGGAGCCGGTAAGAGTCGGTATGATTCATAGCGGGCTACGGGGCGTGACAACAGTGTATAAGCGGAGAAAGAGGGGGGGTCTGAAGGTTGATAAGATAATGCCGGGCTGAAAGCTAGAGCGAATGTGGAAAGTGAAGAGATGGGAAATCCGGGGAGACAAGGGGAGAAGAGGTTGTACAACATACGCCGCGGATCTTGGCGCAATGCTCGCTTGATTTGCGGTAAGCAACAAGGCAGGCGATTACACTACACGTGAAAGTGCTGGAAAATTTCCCGGCCTTTGTTTTCTTGCAATGAGCTTCTTTGAGATGGCGTAGATTCGACTCTCAAATCGTTCATCAGACCCTGGGAGAACTTTTGCCCTGTTTGGCTTGAGGTGTCGCGATTCAGGCACAGCAAACAGGAAGACACAGGCCAAAGCTCAGGCAGAAACACCTTGATGCCGGTTTAGGCTGTTGATGTCAACGATTTCCTGCATCCGAAACAAAAGCTTTGAGAGTCATACCAAGCCGGGAAATATCTTGCGTGATAGCCAGTTACAGAGATCTAGGTACAAGACAAGAGCCTGGAGAAGCAGGATCGCACCAAAGCGTCAGGACCAAGCAAGGGTGGTGAGGAGCAAGGCAAGGCCAGGCCCCAGGCATAAACGTTTTGATCCGGAGAGCGTTGCCTACACGGTTAGTGTACACATGTACGTACAGCCAATGCGATGTGCATGTGAGCGTTGAAGTTTTTTCTCTTCCCCGCAATTGCAAACCGCTACAACTTTGTTGGGATTTTCAAAGTCATTCTTCAATTCGCACGAATCTCGAGACAAGATGAAGAGCTGTCAAAGTAGAGTTCAAGCCCAGTGCATGAGCTTGCAATGGTCAGGTCACGGGGGGAAAAGACTCATCGCATGGCGGAACCCGCTAATAACCCGCACCGCGGTTCTAAGCCGTTCAAGGTAAACAATCCGTTTCTTTGATGCTGTCTGATCACAGAGTGGTTCTTTCATCCGCGGGCGCTACCGGATGTTCCAGACTCTTGCATTTCCAGGCTTTTTACAAAGGCCTGATTACGCGATCTTCAGTCCCGCACCCACAAGCGCGGGGTAAGTAGGTCGCAGTAGCGGAAGCCGTAAGCGCGTTCCGGCGCGGTGTGTCTCACGGAGAAAAAGGCCGACCGATCCCCATGATGAAACGCAGTTATCGAAACACGGTGAAGAAGCGGTGCCTGTTAATTATCGGCAGCCAAGCCGGCTCTTGCGGCGGCCGCGCCTCCTCCGGCCGCGCGGATTACTGGATAACGCAACGCCTGCCACTTTCCGAACGGCCCCTCCTCTCGCAGCCCCTCTTCCTCCGTCAATGCGATTTTCTGCCAAGCAACGACTTATGGCACCCGATTCGCTGGGGATGCGTGCGACCTCTACCGGTACGCGTAACATCTTCACCGAGCCAAGCGACGCAGAAAAGTATCGTGAGGTGAGTGAGCTACGCCTACCTCAGACCGAAGCTTGAGAGGAGTGTGTTTAGCCAAACACTAGGCCCAGCCTCTTGACAACAAAGATGGTGGCTGGCGTGGCTGCCAGCTACGGTTCGGTTGGCCGCTGTACGTTCGGAGATTGCGGCAGCAGCTGAGAGATATTGAACAATCAACAAACAGCGGAGACTGGAAGCTGTGCGGTGCAGCACCCGGTCAAGCTGGTTACCGTATCCCGACCGTTCGGCAGTGTGGTTGGTGTTCACCCAACTTGGAATGCGAAAGCGAGGTGACCTGAGCTGCACGACAACCACAACCCAATTGGGACAAAAAAAAAAGAACGAGCATATCACCCAAACGTCACAGAGAAACTAAGACAAGCAAGACAAAGAAATGCAAACGCCGATATAGGAGCCAGCCATCGTATCAAAAGAAAACAAAAGGAAAATAAAGACGAATAACAATAAGCATTGGTGACTACAAAGAACCACTGCCGGCGTCAAAGGCCACGCCGAAACAAACAATGCCTGGGCTCACAAGCGATCTCTCAAACCACTGTGCTGGTACCATAGTCTGCAGGTCTAATTGTGAGGCTTCAGCGCAAATCAAGAACCTTGGCGACGACCACCACTCTTTTTTTTTTTTTTTTTTTTTTTTTTTTTTGGCTTCGCTGGCACCCCTGAAGCGACCTGATGTGATCTGATCTTGAAGGACTGAATTCAGGGCTCCTAACTGAGACACAAAGCGTGCCTTTAATTGGACATAGATCATCGTGATGAGATTATATATGACCCTCTATGACAACATCAGGGCGCAGTCTGGCAAGTCTGTATCCAAGGCCCGGGCCAGGTCAACAAGCTGCTTGTAGTAGCGTCTCAGTTGCTGATAGCCACGCCTTCAGTCTGATATGTGTCACCCAATGCACTCCGCTTTTACAATGTAGGTACACCAGGCACACATCGATGTCCAACGTCCGTATCCCGATCGCTTAGAGTTTTACAGATTAGCGGACTGAGATGATGCATCTCCCGTCACCTTGACGAGACGATTCACACACCCCATACCGACTTTTCGGTTTCCCGTCGTGTCAACAACCGGTCGAATCACACCATTTTGGCAAGGTACAGAGGTATTCGGTAAGCCACCAATAAAGTCGAGCCAGCTCATACAATAGAGACACGCATATAAACCGTGTGTACGTGAGTTTGAGGTTGGTGGATTCTCTTTGGTTATGAAAACAACCAAAAGATGAGCAGATCCATGAGCAAGGGAACCAACTGATAGGCGCTGTAAATCGTGGGGTTGGCAGTGCTGTCCTGTGCTGTGCTGTAGCGAAGTCATGGTAAAACAGAGGCTAGGATTCCCCAGCTTTTTGCCCATTGTTACTGTAACAAGCGAACCACTGCAAAGACAGAAAGATAGTGCACAGTTCAAGAGGCGAGAGCGACGAGGTGGAACGAATCAGTTTGATCCCGTCAGTGCGGACAGTCGTCCAATTCGAGCCCCTTCCTCAGTCAGTCAGGAACGGGGGACAGCTTTACGTTTCGAAACATTCATTGAATCAGATCTCTCAGATCTCAGCTCGAGTACCTCTTACGACCGCCTCACATTTCTTGCCTCCCCCGTACCGACCATGGTGTATGTACATATTCCCAAGTCAAAGACCTTGAAATCACAGCCTCGGTGCATGATGTCGAAAGCTACCAAAGATAGCAGATTCAACAAGAGATCCAGAAGATCCAGACCCAGCGTTGATCGTTGGGTTCCTATTTTCAGGAGGAAAGAGAGGCTGTGCGGGTTTCAACCGGTGCTCCATACGTATCCATCTGCTCCACGACGACACCAGACAACGGCATACTTGCGAAACTCCGCAAATCTCACTGCCAGCCAACAAACCTGCCAAACCCTTTCAATGCCCCTTCTTCACTACGTAACTGCTCGGAGAAAAAAAGAAAGAGACAGAGCGACAATGATCCCCCTCTACACTAGTAGACCCAACATGGAAAAGAGGTGTCAATCTATCAACGTTGCCATGCAAAGAAGATGCCGTTGTTAGGGACACTGCACTCCTCTGGTGGATGCGGTGTAGGTCTATTAGTGTAGTTAGTGTAGAAGAGAGATGCCCCAAATCAGAGACACAATCGTACCAGGCAAGGCGTCGTCGAGATTACACTTTTTAAGGGTCCGTCCGCGGGAACTAGGGACTACACTACTAGTCCGGGGGGAGTTAATAAGGGACCGACTGGACTACAGACTACACTACACTACACTACACTACGGGCAGACAATACGGGGTGCAGAAAAAGGATGCGCAACAGCAAGCCAAGATAGGGGGGGCGCGTGACCAATGCCGTGAGAGAACATCAGCGGTCAAAAGTCCACCACTGTCGGAATTGTTGCCGGGGAGATGGGGTTATAGATGTTGACATTGATCAAAAAGTCCACTTTGTGGATTTGATGATCGCCTTTGCCTCTGTTGGTGGCCCTGACGGTGGATGGATGGTTGTGGATGGTGAATGGATGTGGTGGTGATGGGTTGTGGTGGATACAACAGACCATTGTTGTTGACACTTGACAATTCTCCATTTTCCTCCTCCACAATGGAGATGGCGATGCTGTGCAAAAACCCACTTCTTTGCACTAAACTGATCCTCGTACGCTCGCTCTGAATTTGAGCCTCCTCACTCCGCTTTTTTTTTTCGTATCTGTTCGGAGTTTATATGCAGACGAGAGGACCCCCTTTTTTGGTTTACCTTTGTTTCCCAAAAAGGGGTTTTGATTGGTTTACATAGGTACCTTTCTTCGGAGAAGCGGTTAACCTTAAACTCTATTTCTCCGAATAAGAAATGCAAAACCCTCATTTCAGTCTCGAAGCCAGAGCCAATAAATACCCTTTTAACAAAACCCCAGAGGTCAAATTCCTGCCCAAATCGTCACCTGACCGGGAGTTCAACCAACCCTGACTTTTATTTGGGTGCTAGCCAGGGCACTTGTCCCGACTCACCGGGACAAGTCGGCAGCGGTCGGTGTCGGTGTATTCACCTTCTCCGACCGCCGGGCACGGTCAAGTTATATACCATACATACATACATACATACCGTTCCCTTTACCGCTTACTTAGCATTGCACTAAGCTATCGAATCTCCCACCCCCTATATCGGAGTGGGAGATCCTCAAGGATTATGATACGCCGGCGCTCCGGGGGGTAGGTGAGCTATTGGGAGATCATCAACGTTCTCCTTGTCCACTCCGGCCAGGCTCCGGATGGGAGGCATGGGAGGGTGTGTAGGTAGCTAGCTATGTCAAGGGCGGGGGTAACACGCGCCTACTCACCTACTTGATCTAGTGTTTACCTTGCCGTACTAACCTTACCGCCACGCTCCGAACTTTCGGGGCGCCTGTAGTGCACCCATGAATGGAGGCCAGGGGAGACTCGTGATGGTTCCTGGAGATGGCGTGCGATGGTGTGCGGTAGCGGTAACTGTAGCGGTAACCGTGGATACTTGTTAAGATGAACTCTTTGAGATCTAAGAACCGGTGAGCCGGTTGTAATCTAAACTATATCCGCTTGCCATGCTTCGAGGATCCGGGGTTCAAGGTGCCGGGAGGCGAGGAAGTACGGTCTTAATTCCGGTATTCGGCAAGGTACGTATCCTGTCTTCAACTTCTTACTCCATGTATGTGACAGACTCGAAACGGAGGTTGTGGCTTTGAGCCGAGAGGCTTTGTGGCTTTTGACTTGGCTTGACGGGGCTGCCAAAGCTGGAGACATGTGATTCGGTTTGGCGTCAGAGGTAGAGGCAGCTGATATCGAGAGTGAAATTGAAAATCCGGGGTTGACATATGGAGTTGGATTTACGGTCAGGATGTGGCTTGGAGTGTCACCTTGTTCACAATTATTCCCATCTCTAGAGAGCCTGGTTTTGCGAGCATGTGAAGGACAGCTGCTGCCTTTTGCCAAGATATATTGATGTTGTATTCCAACGTGCTTGTCATGCTGCCTTCGCAACTCGTCGAAGATTTTGGAAGAGTCGATATTTGAAAGTATTGCGTGCCCCAATCATGCGCGCCCGAGCTCGGCACCCGCAAGTGTGATGAGAACGCCTCCGTCCCAAGTTCCCGGTTTTTGTTTCGGGATGTCTCGATGGGAGATTATATGTGGTTCCGATCACATGCAAATGCCAACAGCTCGCGGATAGCGCACCCGCAAACCGCCAAGTCTTCTATGCACCGGTAGGCCGGCGACTAACTTTCCTGGGTGAACGACGGTTTCGGATAATTTCCCACACGACACTAATTCGAGAGAGGTAAGGTCGGAGATGATATCTTGCTCGCTCTGGTGTAGCGCTAACCCTGTTGGTCCTACGTGAATGGAAACTTCGAGATAACTGTGTTTGGATGAGGCGGCATTGCTTACGCTGATGGTATCGATAGCCTAGGACGAGTATGTAAGCAATGGCATTTTACCCCTCACCTACCAATATGAGAACAAAATGTAAACTGGCTTCGTTAGGTTGTATTGGTCGAGAGTTGATCAAGTTCGACCAACATTTGATGAGTTTCCTGATTTCAAATACCTGATGACGGCGATACCAGTCATAGGATGTTATCGACGTTGCTTGGGCGAGGAAAGAAGTAGTCAAGTTGGACATGACGGAGCTGCAGGGAGATTATCTGAGCATCGCTCGGTATGCTTGGTTGAATGGCCGGCACCTTACCTACCCGTCCAACAAGATGTGACTTTGGCGCCCACCATCTTAATCCCTTGCCTGCTCGAAGTCAAGGTGACAGAGGTGTTGATGAGTCGTACAGGCTTGACGATGTGTGCGTCCTTGCATATTGACGACATGGAGGGGTGTGGACCATTTACCGCTCACTCCCACCTTGTATGCCCGCCTTTATGCAGTGTTTCCCTTGTTTGCATCGTGATCCAAAGAAGTTGTCTTGTAGTTGATACTGCTCCGATATTCGGCCTGGTTTTACCCTGCGCAGCTATGAGGGTGTGGGAGACGAAGATCCAAGGAAAGAGTCGGGACTGTGATTCGGGTCACACGGGAGTTTTCGCGTTGGGGCTGATAGCCTTCATATTTGTGCTGGGTGACCGAGAAGTCGAAATCCGATATCGTGAAAACCGGCTTTTGTGCTGGGCGGAAGCTGTCAAATGACCTTTGTCCCTGAGGGGTGTCGCCGCAAATGCCGCGCCATGTGCTTCAGTTGTTTTCTGGTGATGTTCCGACCTTACACGGTTGAAGGGGACCCGTCGATGTGATCTTGTTGATGTTGTCGGATAAAGTAGGGTCTAAGGGGCTGAATATGGTAACCCATGATCCACATCCAACTGACGGGATCCGCATCGGGAGGGAGTGGATTTTCGTGGATGTCGTCGTGGTGGTGGATGTTGATGATGACATGGGAAAGCGACAGAAACCCGAGATGGATAGCGGTACATCTAGCTTGTACCTCTCCACTCTCTACGGAATATCAAGTGATCGGCCACGCGCCCGTTGAATATGTAAGGCCGCGCTGCCGCACTGCGTGGAGTCCGGGAGTGGACGGGCGGGGCTGGGCAGAAAATTTCGGAGAGGCGGGACCAGCGGAGCTCCGAACATGCCGAGTTCCGTTCTAATTCGGGGCATGGAAGCTGTGGAGCTATGACCACCCGACACCCGTCCGCCCGCACTACCCACCACCCCACCCGTAGGTCGTCGGGATTAAAGGGAGATTGCGACCGGGTCGTTCCGGAAACAAACCTTGACCTTGACTTTGACTCCCATCATTCCGTCCCCTCGTCCCACCCCCGGTCCCGATTGCATTGCTTGACCAGCGATTTCCCACAAGGCTGAGAGGAAGGGCACCACTACACCAAGCAACCATGCAGCCGGCTACCAGATCGATAGCCATCGCCGCCCCGGCCTCTGCGGCCTTGCGCCACCGGAGCGCACGCACAGCTACCACTCCATTCATCTGCCTTGGCTGCCGGTCCGTGCAACGGAAACAACAACGGCGACCATTCTCGGGCACCGTCTCTACACAAACGGATCTTCGCGCCGGCCTCACCAAACTCACATCGCGGCGCTTGATCTCCGTCTCCGGCCCGGATGCCTCCAAGTTCCTTCAGGGTGTCATCACCAACAACATCAACGCTCCACACAATGCCAACGGCTTTTATACCGGCTTCCTGACAGCTCAGGGCCGTGTGGTCCATGATGTCATCATTTACCCGGATGACCTGGGTCCAGAACCAGGCAAGCAGAGCTTCCTGATCGAGGTTGACGCCGACGAGGCCGCGACACTTCACAAGCACATCAAGCGCTACAAGCTGCGCTCCAAGTTCAACTTGAAGTTGCTAGACCCGGAGGAGCGTGCTCTCTACCACTCATGGAACGACCTACACCAGGCCGGACCATGGAGTAAGCTGATCGACGAGGTACAAAAAGATGGCAACGCAAGGGCTGTCCCGGATCCGCGTGTTCCGGCATTCGGCTCCCGTGTGGTCGTCAACCAGACCTCCTCTTCCTCGCCACTAACAGACGGCGACCTGACACCCGAATCATCTTACCACCTCCGCCGTTTTCTTCTCGGTATCCCCGAAGGCCAGTCCGAGATCATCTCCGGCACCGCTCTCCCTCTCGAGTCCAACATGGACGTGATGAATGGCATCGACTTCCGCAAGGGCTGCTACGTCGGCCAAGAGCTTACCATCCGCACCAAGCATCGTGGTGTTGTCCGCAAGCGCATCCTTCCTTGCATCCTCTATTCCGAGGGTGCCGCCCCGGAGATCCCGGCTGACGGACCTGGGCAACTGGAAGCGCTGGAGAAGCTCTTGAAGCTTGAAGTCGAGCAGGGAGTCAAGGCAGAGATGATTCCTCAAGGTGCGAGCATTGACAAGGTGGACAAGAAGTCTAGGAGCGCCCCCGGCAAGTGGCTGAGGGGTATTGGCAACGTTGGACTGGCGCTGTGCAGGTTGGAGGTGATGACGGATACCGTCTTGCCAGGAGAGACACCGGGCACGTATAGCCCTGAGCAGGAATTCGTCGTTAGTTTGGGTGGAGAGGAGGGGAGTGAAGTCGAGGCAAAAAAGGTCAAGGTTAAGGCCTTTGTGCCGTTTTGGCTGAGGGATGTGTGGAGAATCGAAGCGGAGAAGGCGGAAGAGGAGAGAAGGATGAGGGAGGAGCTGTTGAGGGACCGGGGATTGGATGTTGAATAAGGGTCGAACAGTCAACCGACTCGCACAATACCTGTGAACATCACCGAACGTTTACCCAACCGAAGAGTCGTACGGATAAACCGAACACCTCATTGTCGACATAATACACTTTGGTTACGCTCTTCTATGAATCCATGCGTCTTTCCTATACCATTTGAGCGAATCCAGCACTTTCTTGGGTTGCAGAATCCTTCAGGGACTTTAATCCACGTACTCTTCAAACAAAACGATGCATGTCACTATCTCTTAACGGTATTTCTGGCCAAAGCGAGGGGTATTGAACGCAAACTTTCATGTTTGGGTTATGTTTACGGCATCTCCCTAGCTTCAAGGTGTATTCACCTACTGTAGATGGCTAAAAGATGAACAGAGACAAGACGACTTCGTGTGTTGCTACTGGCCATTTCCCAGACGAAAAGACTAACCCGATCTCATATACTCGTTCCTCTCCTGGTGCCTACTCCTCTCCAACATACCGCATCAGACCATGGAAAGCTGGTCCAAATCACTCAAAATCTTCTCGGCAAAGCAAAGGGCAAGCGTGTCTTCGCCCACGTCCTCTGTCTCCAAGCCTGATCCGCCAAACTCCTCATTCTCCTCATCCAGGCATGTTAAGCACTGAAGGACGACATGCGCATACCTATCACCCATCCGCGGCGCAAGCCTGGTGCTTGCCTGCTCAACAAGATAGTCCTTGAGACTCAATGCCAGCGCATTGAAGGTGATGGCAGTGGAATCTTCGCCCGCCGCGGATTCTCTCTCGTCAAGCCATTTCTCAAAATGATAGTAAGTCCTTCCAAACTTGGTGCGTGGCCTTCCGGAATTCTCCTCTCCTGTGCTGTACTCAACAAAAGATTCCCAGAGCCCAATCTCCAGAAGACAGACTCCGAGGCTGTATATGTCGTGTTGCATACGGTACTTCTCAGCCGGGTCGAAACCCTGTCGAGACGGATGCCGATACACATTACGTTCCCAGCTTATGTCCCCCGACATCATTGTGCTACCGCCAGCGGCCCGAAAGGCATCAAAACCAACAAGAAATGCGTTGCTACGTGAAGCCGCATTGTTCTCGAAGCACAGGATCGATTCGGGCCGGACATTCTTGTGTACGAAGGCGAAGGTGTGGACGTAATGGATGACCTTGGCAAGCTCGCGTGCGATGCGCATTTTTCGGGAGAGAGAGACATGCTCATCCGAGTTAAGAAGAAGCTGGCGCAAGGATTGAAGTACCGAAAGGTTTTCTGGTAGACAAAATACCAGTTGGAAGGAGGTATAGTCGAGCCTGCTTCTTGGGGGGGAAGAACTCGGAGACGAAGCAGATGATCCGATAAGCTGGCTCCGAACGGGTATAACCCCTTTACAGTTGAGCAACCCGAAAGCGAAAGGATCTGCCTGTGCGAGCTTCACCGCGAGCATGCTCACGTCGTCCAGCACATCGCGTGCTTCAGCAACAGATCCAACCTGGACGGTGTCAATGATATACCATCTCCTCTCCAACTCCATGAAGCCTTTCTTTGCTTCAGACATCGGGATCTCGGACATTTCCATCTGCACTTCTGCAAGAAACCTGGGCTTAAGTCGGTTGGCACTTGGGTATAACACGCGACGCATGCCTGCAGCGACGGTCAATGGATTTTTGGCCACTGATAAGGCACGGGCATTGCTTCTGTCATCATTTGCAGATTGTGATCTGGCGAGAGCAGCATCAACGAGAGGGTTGGCTATCTTCATGACCATGAACCACAAAGGATCGAAGCGGCGATCCCATGTGTCGAGGTCGCTGATGATTTGATCCAATGCACCCATCTTCCAGGCACAAGTCATCTTCTGGGCTTTGGATCCAAATCCCCACAACCCAGTGCGTCCACGAGAATGTCTGTTGGTAACTTTGTCCAAGGCAGTGTCAGCCTGTGATAGCTTCTGCGATAGCTGGAGCAGAAGGCCGTCTAAGAGCCCGCATAGATCATCGTCGAGAACCGACTCGATGCGTTTCAAGAGATCTAGTTGGAGCTTGCTCGTATGCCAGTAACTCTCGATCGTGAGAGAGCGCTCCTGAATCTGGCTGTTGACATTTGCTAAATTCCTGCATAGTTGAATGACTTTCTCTCCAACTCTGTCACAGCTTGTATCAGCCATCAAGGAGGGAGAATATGCGACGTTCCATCCCCCACTTACTGGCAACAGGTTAAGATAAGCCCGGCAATTGAAACTGGGTCCATTGCGTAACAACCTGTGGACTCGAACGAGTTATCTACCGGCGCGTCGAGAGGACTAGTGTCTTTGACACCTTTGAAGATGATCCTGTACAGTCAATGCGGAGTTGTGATCAGGCCGACTCTCACACTGCGCTTGGTATATAAGGGAGTATTCTGAATGGGATCAATGTTCACATCTGTTTGCCACTTGACACAGGTGGAAGTCTCGGAGCTGAATCTACGATCACAATTCTGCTATTATCCATGAGACTTACTCGGGGGGCAGTGTCATTTTTATCCGGGGGCAGTGTCACTGCGCCTGTAGGGATATATAACAAGGGATTACTACGCGGGCAGTGACACTGCCTCCCGAGTAAGTCTCTTATCCAAACTCCAATCAAATTGTACCAACGATGCGCCTCTGGCGCTTCAGGGCCCCTGTACGTGATAAAAGGCTCTGATTCGATGTAACCCCTTTCCCGGAACTCGACACAAGCTGGGAAACATACCGCAAATGGGTGGTCACGGGGTGGCCTCTTCAGGAAAGCTGAAAAGCTTTAGTGTCTTGAATAGAGAGGGGTGAACGCGGGGGCATTTACCTCTGACATCCCTCCCGGCTCTAGCATTTCGACCATTTATACACTTAGGCAGGCGTCATATTCATGGACAATTCACCGAAAGAAAAAAAGAATAATCGCTCAACAGCCAGCCGTCATGGACGTCACTTTCAGCAACGACTTGCATGATTGGAAAATTGCGACAAGATTTGAACATGGAATGCGATATCACGACTTGCCAAGGGGCACTCAGTGTTGGAAGCCAGTTGAGAAATTAGGTGAAGGCACATGTGGAGAGGTTTGGAAGGAACAGTGCCTATCTGGCACCTCTTCTTCATCGAGTATCTTCCGTGCTGTCAAGATTCTTCCTAAGCGGAAAGGTAGCTTTGCTAAATCTTCAAGACGGGAAATTAAGGCGCTTACCACGTTCTCTGACGATAGGGTCGTCGATGTGCAGTCAACTAAGCGTTCAATTGATTATCAAGTTTAACGAAGATCGTTATTAGTATCAACAACATTTTGTCCAGATCCGTGGCTGGTTTGAGGATGAAACTCACTGGTATATTGCCATGGAACTTGTCGAGCACGGAAATTTACAACAGCACATAGATCAAGGATGCATTCCGGAACCCTGAAGCAGCTTCAATAACGGCTCAAATCGCCCGGGCTTTGCTTCATATGCATACCAGAAGCCTGGTTCACAGGGATCTTAAACCTCTGGTACGTTCTGGCGGAGGACATAATACCGAGACTGTCAATCCCATCTTCCGTACCCCACAGCTAACATGGTTTCCAAGAACATACTGGTCTCCCAACCAGGTCCAACATGGCATGTAAAGGTTGCCGATTTTGGAATCACAAGGGACCTGAGTGACACAGTGGCTGGGACACATCAGATTGGGACTTTCGGCTACATGGCTCCTGAACTGTGGCACACGTCTGAACGTTATACATCCGCGGTTGATGTATGGGCCCTCGGGGCCATCGCCTTCTGCATGCGAACGGGATCGCCCCCTTTTCCCAATCCCGTGACACTGGCCAACTACCCGGAAGACCCTACCGTGTTTCCCACCCTTAAGCTACGCTCCTCTACCCAGCCTTGCAGAGGGTTCATCACAGGCGCCATGGCGGCAATACCCCAAGAACGATTAACAATCGTCGAAGCTGTGGGGCATTATTGGCTGTCCAGAGATATGAATGTTTCAAAGAGGTAAGTGACGACCCTGTTTTCAAATCCGGAATCGCGCTTGCTCAACCAAAGTTGTAAAGACACCAGAGCGCTCCATCGTCGGCTTCCCTTGCATCATCGACCTCATCACTGGGACAACTGTGTCTGGATAGCTGGACAAGCGAAGACAGTGATAGTGATGTTAGCTTCACCAAACGCTCCCAACCTCCTACTTTTGTTCCTTCATATCGGAGGAAGCCAGAGCCAACTCGCACAACGGAGGCCAGAGAGGATATGGACAGTCTCAGTTCTTCCCAAAAAGTTCAATCCCCCACTTCTGTTGATTCTCACAGTACAGCTAAACAATCTTCACCCCCCACTTCTGTTGGTTTTTACAGCCCAACTAGAAAATAATCCGCCGCGACCTAAAGGTCTGGAAAAATTCGAAGGGGGAGTCGCCCGCGATGAAATTTATCGATCAAGGCTTTTCCCATCGACTTTACAACCAGTACCAGAAAGGAAAAAGAAGCCTCCTTCGGCAAACCCTTTTTGGGATGCCATTGCAAGAGTCAGGGCCGAGCGCCAAGCAGAAGGCTAAAGGCGTTCATCTCCGGTAACTCGCCTGGATTAGTTGTTATTAGAGATTAGTATATACCTTGCATACCAATTTGCCACAATACTTACGCCTATCCAATGCTGTACGTAAGACGGTGCTTTCGAATATTCTCCCATTGGTACCCTATGTTTTGTCCTGTCTTTTGTCTCGTCTTTTGCCTCAAACAAGTCTCGTCGTCGTCGATAGGTACTTATCGCAACTTTTAGTGTTCCAAGTAGTAAAGATAAATTCATTTCTCACAGGAATACTTTGCAATCGGAATGTTCTACTACATTTTTGATAGGCGTTTTCATCCTTGTCGATTTCCTATAGACATGAGCTGGCAAAGGCTGGCTGGTAATTTTTTATTATTATTATTTTTTTTTTTAATTTTTTTTTTTTTTTTTTTTTTTTTTTTTTTTTTTTTTTTTTTTTTTTTTTTTTTTTTTTTTGCATACAACTCTCGGCGTCGATGCTATAAATCCAACCCCGAGCCCAGAACGTGAAGCGAGTATCCTGGGTAATTCTACCTGCAGTTGACGTATATTTTGATGTCGCTGTGATTCATGTGTGATGACCGCGATCTATTGAGTGTAGTCTTGTTTCTTGAATTTCTTAGGCTACTCCAACGGTCCTCTAAGCGCTTCAAGAGCATCTATATCCGAGAACTCCCTGTGTCCTATCCCTGGTCCCCAGTATTCCTTGGGCATCCTATGCCTTTCAGTATTCAAATGCCTAGACAGCTGGCCAAAATGCTGGAATTTCTCGCCGCATAACATGCAGATAGTTTTAAGCTCCTTCTTCACCCGCTTGATCCTCTCTGCGTCGGGTTTTGGTCCTGGTTCTGTCGCGTCTTCAGACTCTTCTCTTGCCCGTTTGTCCCTTTCTTGTTGTCGGTGTTGTTGTTGTTGCTGCTGCTGCTGCTGCTGCAAAAGCGCTTGCTTTACTCGCGCTTGCTCGAGCTCTTCTTTTTCCTTTCGTTCCCGCTCGAGCTCTGCTTGTCGCTCCAATTCTTCCGCCTCCTCTTCTTCCCTCTTGACTATTTCCTGCCTCCGTCTCAGCTCTTCCTGTCTCTTCAACTCCTCTTCTTCCTTTTTCTTCCAGAAAAACGACAATTCCCTTTGTCGCTTGTTTTGCCCCTCTGGTGCTTACTTGTATGTTGACTCAGCAGCCAG